GTTCACGACGTGAACTTTTTTATATATTTCTTTTTTTTTTTTTAATATTTTCATTATCATTCTTTTGTACATCTGTCAATTTTCTAGTATTTGCTTGCTCTTGTATTCAATTGGATATATCGTCATAGTCGTAGAATACTGACGGATCTTTATATGTAATCTTTGTCAGATCCGTCAGTATTCTACGACTATGACGATATCTGTATTGTTACTTATTAAATATACCTTTAGTTTCTTCTTGTTTTCTCTGAATTCAATCTTCAAAATGTTTAGTAATATTTGACTTGTAGAGGGATATAAGCTGTAATTTGTTCTGGTGACATAACAAAAACGTTAATGAAATATAAAGGAAGGTTTTGCCAGTAGTTGCCACGCTTGGCAGACGGGTTGGCAACCGTAGGCTTTCAGTGATATTTTAAAAGGGACGCTGCTACCCATTCCTCGACCATTAAGTCTCCTTAGTAGCCTCTTACGACATCCACGAGAAAGGAAGGGGTGGCTTATTCTATCCCGAGATCACACGCCATATACATACAGTAATAGTTATCATAGCTAGGAATATAATATTTTACAGAAACTGTGAAAACAGTAGTAAAAAATCTGAGATATATCTCAGTTTTGTGTTTTAGATATAATTGGATATTATTCTCTTGTGATGATGCTTATCATTATCAACATTATATGGCGGTTAGTCCGACAACGCCATCTATCATTTTACAAACTACTTATTATTTAATAACTATATGATTCTTATTTTAAAATAATAGTAGATTTTATGATTTATAAGGGACAAGAAATAAATAATACATTAATAAATAGAATAACGTTAATAAATTTTGCTAGACTTGTCTCTCAGAAGACAATGAATTATCTGCGTGTAATATTTAATAATTATTCTTTGTTTATACTTATACAATGTACTTATGTGATACGATAGATGAGTCTACAATATGAGTATATATAAATAAAATCACATTGTATGTTGATTTGTAATTTTATAAATTACCATATGATCTAGGTAGCATCTGTGTATAAGCAATTAGAATTGTTTTCCATGTTATTTATGTAATAAAGGATGTACAATTACGATGAGTTATTTACTTGATTATATTAAAAATATTATAATGAATATATACTGTTGATATTAAAAAAGAAATTAAATCAAAATTGGCAATAGTATCATCATCATCATATTAGCCTTTCACTGTTCAATGGTGAACTTAATCATCTCCCTTGGAAGGTTTTGTCAATAGTCACGCTTGGCAAGCGGATTGGCAACCGCAAATAGGCTTTTCGAGATGATTTAACAGGGGCGCTGCTGCCTATTTCTTTACCATTAAGTTCCTTGAGTCGCCTCTTACGACACCCACGGGAAAGAAAGGGTATTGTTTTTTGATATAGCTTAACTATGTTGTGTTTAAATCATAGGTAGTATTAAGACAGAAAAAAAGCATTACAGAATAGTGTCTGTTATGTCCATTGTACTGTTTATGTCTATAGGCTACGGTTACCACTTTCCATCAGGTGGACCGTCAGCTTGTTTGCCATTCAAAGATGTATAAAAAAAATGGGGAATACCGGTCCCATTGTTATCAATATACCTTGTCAGATCGACCTTCACGTGATCCCCCCTGGAAACCATCGTGCTGAATTCCAGCTATATTCATCACGATGGGATAACTGTTCTGCCCTTTCATACTCACCTATCACCCCTCACTGGTGCTCCGCCAGTGTATGCCGTTAGCGCAGGCGGGGTTACCATTCCATTATCATCCATTAAAAGAAAACCTTCCATTCAGGGAAAGGTATTAAGCAGTGGACAGTTAACGGCTGACATGGTTATATATATGTAAATACAGAAATACAAACAATAATGTTTACATATATAGGTAAAATCATCAAAGAACATTATAAACACAACTTAGAATGTCATTAGTAACTGCTACAGATATATATTTTAAACTGGAAGAGATAAATATAGAAAATACAATTATATATATTTTTTATGCAACTTAGAATGGCAAACAAGCTGACGGTCCACCTGCTTAGAAATGGTAACCGTCGCCTATAGACATAAGCAGTATCATGGACATAACAGAGTATACTGCTTCACCCATGATACACCCCATGCGGTGCCATTCCTGAAGACTCAGGTGTTATTCCTCTGTACCCTTTAAACTCACTGCCATATCCCACCCTTCAAACCGAAACACAGCCATACAAACACTGTTTCGCGGTAGAAACCCGAATGGGATAGAGGTGCCCAAGCAAACGACTTTAGTACAAAGTCTCGCTCTGGTACAATTACATAAATAACATCAGTACTACAAAATCTTATTTTTTAAGTAAAAGAATAATAAAAAATATTTTAATTTTAATGTTAGGGCATTTATACGTTCTATTAATATAATAAAGGCTAAAGTTTATAACAATGTATGGATTAATGGGTGTTTGTTACTCTGTCACGCAAAAACTGCTCAACGTATTTGAATTAAATTTGGGACACGGGTATGTTATATCTTAATTTGGCACACAGGATACTTTATATACTGATCCACGCGAGCAGAGCTACGGTATATAACTAGTTATAAATATACCACATATTGTATATATAAAATATAGGTATAGTATATTACACAAAGTTATTTATAATGTAATTTTTGTACCAAAAAAAATGTCTTTAAAAAAATTTGTCATGAACAATTGAACATATACGAATATATAAGAATATATATATATCAAATTTTAATAATAAATACATATCTAAATAAGTACGCTTATTTGACAATTCTATTTTATTTTATTCTTCAAACGAGGCACAGACTCTGCGCGGATGGCAACACGTTTGTGGGATGGCAGTGGGATGAGGTCACCCCTATCCTCGCCACCTCTTTGTATAACAGGTTGCTATTTTATGAATGCACATTAAATTACGTTATAATGAAATGAGAAAACCGACCGGTATGTATATATGAGACTAATAGCGGATGATAATTAATATATAAAATCATACACACACACACACACACACACACACACACACACGCACACACACACACACACACACACACACACACACACACACACACACACACACACACACACACACACACATATATGTATGTTATACACACAGCGCCATCTAGTTCTAAATGAAGTAGATTTTGGTCTACATGTACTAGATAACTGATGATATATATTTAATTTTTTTATATGTACTTACAAGTAGTATTGTATACATGTGTTTTCATATATGTAAATACATATAAAAAAAAACACCTAGTTATATACAATCAGACATTTCTACAATTATGAATGTGAATATACGAGTATTTTATAAGAATTGAATCGTGAATGATGAAAATCAAAGCACTTTTTAAATAATCGAATCAGAATTCGATTCTTATGAATGTGAATACGAGTATATTATATAAGAATGAAATCCTCAGTGATAGAAATCAAAGCACTTTTTAAATAATCGAAACAGAATTCGATTCTTATGAATGTGAATACGAGTATATTATATCAGAATGGAATCCTCAGTGATAGAAATCAAAGCACTTTTTAAATAATCGAAACAGAATTCGATTCTTATGAATGTGAATACGAGTATATTATATCAGAATGGAATCCTCAGTGATAGAAATCAAAGCACTTTTTAAATAATCGATTAGAATATTGAAAATTGTTTTAGAAAATTTACAAATAATTTTGATTTTGAGTCAGAATTATCTACCATTTTTCTAAAAAAAGATGATGGCTACTGAACTCGTTTTAGGAACTAAAATGTTCATCTTATAGTTTACAATTTAATTTGTCATCATTCATCGTCATTCTTTCATCATTTCAGCCTGCATCTTTCCACATAGACCTTCTCCAATGGCTTTCATCATGTGCAATTATCCGTTTTTGTATCCATCAATGTATAAAAAAATTTGGTTGTTCTGTTATTATTTTTAATGGATAACCTCAAAGACGACAGATTTAAAAAAAAATACCTACAGAAAGCTACATATCAGTGAGTGACATAAAATATACATATATGTATTTTTTTTCGAAAATACCCGTGCGGCGTCAGGCCGATTCGTTATTTATTTATATATTACAAAATAATAATAATAATAATAGGAACGATTAGAATACATGCAAAGTTAATCATAAAATTACAGTCATGGTATGACTGTATCATTCCACAACATTATAATTATGTTAAATAACTATTACAAAACGTGATTAATTAATTACATTCTGTCATAAATATTCATAATAAAATATTGATTTTATGTTTAATAACAGATGTTATGATATAATATAATAATACAGGTATTATACGTACATTATTATTATTATAGTATTATTAAAATTAATTTTTATTAGAAATGCACAAAAGCTTGATATTTATTATTTATATTTATTATTTCTACCAGAGGGAGAGTTTGTACAAAGGTCGATTGCTTGGGTACCTTTGTCCCATTCGTGTTTCAACCGTGAAGCAGCTGTGTTTGCATGGCTGTGTTTCGATTTGAAGGGTGGGATATGGCGTGAATTTATTAGGTACAGAGGAATAACACATGAGTCCTCAGGAATGGCAACGCGTGGGAGGTACCATGGGCGAAACAGTATACTCTGTTATGTCCATGGTACTGCTCATGTCTATAGGCGACGGTTACCACTTTCCATCAGGTGGGCCGTCAGCTTGTTTGCCATTCTAAGTTGTATAAAAAAAAAAAATTATTACAATAATGACGACGATGTTTATAAGGTACAATTTAAAAATAATATGAAATATTATATTATACAAATGGTCCGTTAATTCACGGAGAATTACTATAGAAAAAAATAAATATTAATGTTAAGAATATTTATTTCATATCCAAAAATAATGTAATAAAATACACCCTATTTATGAAACCACCCCCGGCACCCACCTCTCAATATGGTGTGAGAAGTTACCGCATTGGGGGGTGAGGGTCGGCCCAAAAAGCTCAGTCTAGCTTCAGCTTCCGCGGCGAGCGCACGCGTGCGTAGCGATGTGCGTGAACTAATTAAAATGCTGACCCGAGTGCAATTTCAAATGTGTTAGTGTTCTAAAATAGTGTTTTACTGTCAACTATGTCTTCCAAAATAATATTTTTGGGATGATTGTGATTTATGTTTAGAAGGTAATATTGTCTTTGTGGTTATCTCAAAAAATATTTTATTTTTTGCTTTGTTCAATTACAAAATGTTATTTACACGTAATTTCGTATATAATATGAACTTATTTGTATCTAAATATTACAATTTTAATAGATATTATAATAAGAATGTGGAGCAAAATGCACCACAAAAAATAGCCACTTTAATTGTAGCTAAATTAGTATTTGGGTGTTTTATTCATAGATGACTTTTTTAACAAAAAATATTGTTTAAATTTTATTACGTCAAAATAAAGATTTAATAACCTGTAGTAGATATATAGTGGTGATATTACATAGTGGTACGAATTGTTTCAACATTTTGATCACTAACGTGATAACCTACCTTACTAAATTTCGTAACGAACAATGTTTTAGTGAACGAATGAATGAATGATTTATTTGTAAAATTTTAGTAAGAACAATAAATTGTTACATATAATATAAAATATATTTAAGACATCAAATCAGACATGTAATTTATGTATGAAAAAATTAAGTTATAGCTAAAAATAACATGAACTGTGAAATTGTGTGTAGTATTTGTGAAAAAAAGATTTGTATCAAAATCAATAGACTTATTCGCTACCTATCTCGAATGATATAAGGATGGAATCTTGACCTTTCTAAATGAAATAAAATCAAACATGTAAATGTTTGAAGAACAACAAAATCCGTAATATTATTTATTGCATGTTATATTTTATAGAGGTGAAAGTGAGTTTGTTTCTTTACATATAGAGATTAGAGGCTTGACCAATTATATATATGATATACGTTATTTTATATCCCAGTCAGTAACATATACCGATAACGCAGACGAAGTCGCGGATAAAAGCTAGTGACTAATTTATTTTTTGGAAACATTTATTCTTAAAGATTGAATTCCTCAATTCGTCTGAGTTATGTGTATGCTAAAATATAGCTCTGGCGATTCTAAGTTCTATAACTTTTTCTAAATTTGTGATACAGTTTCTCATAAATATTTAAAAAAAAATTAAAATATTTTTTTACCGACTCTAAAAAAGGAGGAGGTTCTGCATACGGTTGTTATTTATAAACCACTTTGGAAAATCTTTTTTTTTTATTTGAAAGGTATTCCAGATTAGTCCCATAAGACTTATTTTAAAAATAAGTCTTATAATCGTGTGGATATACATCAAATAGGGTTCTCTAATCAAGTGTTCTATAATTAAAGCTGGTCTTCATTAATTTTTTTTTTTATGAGCTGAGCTCTTGAAGGTGGGTCTCTTGCCACCCACTACGACTCTCAGCGAGTCTCTTCAGCTCTGGACACGACACGATAGCAACTTTTTCTATGATCTCCCTGATGTAACTGTATCTTGGTCTTTCCATTCCCCTTCTTCCTTCTATCTTTATTATAATATTTATAAGTACGTCGTATCGTATCCATTGTCATTATAGTTTCAGTAATATTATTACAGTATGGGGTACTTCAAAGAGCCTGTTAAGGTTTCTTCAGAGTCGGCAATGCGCATATGACACTCCTAATGTTGCAGGTCTCCATAAGTTACCGTTTACCATCTGACGGACAGTATATTGGCTTACCTCCTTTACCTGTATAAGAAATATATAATTTCTCTGTAATTACTTTTACCTTCTTCTGTTTCCAGGTTCAATTCGGGGCGCAAAGTTATACAATGACCATCAGCCTCTCATGACAGCGACACCCTAGTGAATACGGCAGATATTCCATCAAGATGTCTTTCACAAATAATTCCTTTTCGAGGACCTACAACCATTTATTTGTTGAATTAGCTGGTATGTATTTTTTTATAATTGAGAGTATTGATGCCTCTGATTAGTTTTTTTATAATTCTCATATTTAGAATTTGGAACTAGCTAACGTTCACGTCATAAAGTCTGTCGTCTCAGTCGACTTCTTCCTGTCTTTTTTTCATATCTATTTGAGGTTGGCATATAATTTTTTCTTCTTCCATCTTTATTTGCAGTCAGCTCACAGTCACTACCTTTCTGGTCATGTCATTTTTCACACAGTCTATTAATCTCTTTCTAGGTTTTCTCTCTATACTTATAACCATCCACATTCATACGTAATACTTTTATTACTACATTATCTTCATCCCTGTGCATTACACGTCCATACTACAACAAACTACTTTTTTTTTTTTTATAGAACTTAGAATGGCAAACAAGCTGACGGCTCACCTGATGGAAAGTGGTAACCGTCGCCTATAGACATGAGCAGTATCATGGACATAACAGAGTATACTGTTTCGCCCATGATAGCCCCCATGCGTTGCCATTCCTGAGGACTCGGGTGTTATTCCTCTGTACCCAGTAAATTCACGCCATATCCCACCCTTCAAACCGAAACACAGCCATGCAAACATAACTGCTTCACGGTTGAAACACGAATGGGACAGAGGTACCCAAGCAATCGACTTTTGTACAAAGTCTCCCTCTGGTCTACTTCTCCATTACCAGTGCTATGTTCAAACTTCCTCTTAAATACTCATTCTTGATCTTATCAATCGTTGTCACACTATACATATATCTCAATTCGTATATTAGTTGTATAAAGTTATCTTTCATCTGTGACCTTTGCATCCCTATCATAAATATCATAGAATACACACTGATAGCCATTGGGATCCATTTATTGCTTGATTCGATGTATTCATTCAACGTATATCTCTTACCCTGAATGCATATCTATATACAGTAAAGAAGGTACAACGACACTAAAACTAAAACACTATGATACAGCAAATTGATGGCAAATCCCATTGTTTCTAGCTAACAGGGAGATTTTGGAATTCTCAAAAATATTTCTAACCATTTAATAATGATGGAAGAAAATGCAGAATTTTAACTGCTTACCCGTCTATCTTCATATCAAATTCCTCACGGAGTAAACAGACAGAACTGAGTGTAAAAGACTCTTAACTTTGCATAGGCACAACTTTTGCTTCATGCGTGTAACTCCTTATTCACGCCAATTCTTAACTCCTTACTTAAACAATTATTGATTTGTTATTACTGAATTTGAACTTCGAATTGTATTCATAAATAATGACCATAGAGAAATCTTTATACTTTGAATAAAAATATTTTTATTTATTTAAAATTATTCTATTCACAGATCCTCGCACAAACGACTGGTTTCTGATTACGAGCCCAATCCCTGGCCTAACCATAATCGGTCTGTACCTATGTTTTACATTAAAATGGGGCCCGAGGTACATGGCCAACAAAAAGCCATTTCAACTGCAGAAGACTCTGATTGTGTACAACTTCATACAAGTTTTGGTCAGCTGTTGGCTATTTCATGAGGTTAGTATCTGTTGAGTTAAACATTAGGGAGATTATTAATATTAAAGATCTACATTTTAAATGAATTTAGTGTTGATGTTATCTGTCTCGGTTAGACAGAGACAGTTCAGCATATCTTTCTGAAAAAAAAAAGGAAAGCGAAAAAATTTATAACAACATCCGTCTTTTTGTTTTATTAAATAAAAAAAATTAATACAAACGACGTTTAAGTTGGCAACTCCATATAGGCAAACGCAGTGTAGTAATCCTCATTTAATGAAGCGACGACCTCAAACGCAATGCAGGGAGTCAGTGGATGCAGGTGGCTCGGGACTGTCCCTCTCTTAACAAAACATAACCAAAGTGCAGGGTACAACTGTAAATTGCTTCTTATGTGATCATTGCCATGCGGTCCCAGCATAGAATCGGTAACCCCTTTCTTCATCGTGGATGTCGTAAGAAACTGTTAAGAAAACTTAAAAGACAAGAGATGGGTAGCAAATTTTAAATTCCTAAAATATTGCCAAAGCCTAACGGTGACCGCGCCCACTTGCACTAAAACATACAGTAACAATAACAAGTTAATAACAATGTTAGCAAAGGTGAACTTATCTCTAGAAGAGATCTCTTACTACTAATACTGCATACTTAGTTTAAAAAATATGCTTTTCGACTTGAGAACTTTACTGCTTTTTTTCTACATAATAGTCGTAGAAAAATATAGATTAACTTAATAAAATAAAAGTCTATATTAATAACAGGTAATTTAAATATTTCAGGGGCTTGAAGCAGGCTGGCTCAGAACTTACAGTTGGAAATGTCAACCGGTTGATTTCTCCAAAACACCCGAGGCCCTAAGGGTATGTATCTATTTCAAGCCTATCTATGCTCCTCATTGCTGCCCTATTGCAAACCATTATTACACGTGGGTGCACCATTCCATCTTTATCCTAAAAATAACCTTAGTTCTGTTTTTAACCGACTTTAAAAGAAAGGACCTCCTTCTTTTGAAGTCGGTTATATTGAATATATCATATTATAGTGTAATTTGGTATACGAATAGGTTATATCCTAATTTAATACATAAAATACTTTATATACTAATGTATTTTATTTTATCTTTATTTGGTCTCCTAGCAATTGTTACACTGATAAGATTTAATGTTAAAATTACTGTCTATTTATACTTAGTGTACAATCATTTTAAAGGAAACATAACATGCTAATTAACAAATAAACAATAATATGGTATAACAATCTCTTGAGGTATTTGACATAGGTACAGTTGTTTATCAACTGTACCTATGTCAAATATGTCAACCAGCGCTGTGCAGCTGTTCACATTGCGCTGGGACACTCACAGCATCCGCTGAGCCGGTTCCTTTTGCCGGGTGTGGGACACTTTTTGTATATGTCATTTATATTTTATATTGTAAGTTTACTGGCAATAAATGTTTCTATTCTATTCTATTCTATTCTAAATACCTCAAGTTTTTTTTTAGATTCAATAGATAATTGCTTCACATAAGTTTTATTAGCTAATCAAATTAACTGCAATGCTTTCCTATAGAAATCCCTTTCTGTATTGAAGTGAATATCCAAGTATTGCTTGCAATGTACGCGGACAAAGCGAATAAAAATGCGGTAAACAACTAGTATTATAGGATATATAAAAGTGGTATTATGAAATTTTGTGATAAATATCTTATTTAAGGAACATACAAGTATAAATGCCAAAACAACTACTTTCACAATTGACCCATTCAACTGATCAGTGATATTATTGTGCATTCATAATCGTTATAATCACGTGAACATTATACATATAGGTAGGTAGGTACCTGTCAATATATATATATATATATATATATATATATATACATATATACATACACACACACACACACACACATATATATATATATATATATATATATATATATATATATATATATATATATATATATATATATATATATATATGATGATGATTGTAAATGTTTAGTATATGTAAGTACCTGGTACTTATTCTTGGCATTTTATTTTATTTTTTATTATAGAATAAAATAAAATGCCAAATTTTCATAATAAGAATATTTCATAATAAGAAAAAAAAAACATTTACAAAGCCAATTACAGGTATTCGCAAATTAAAACAAGATTTAACTAATGCACATGACATCGCTAATACTTACTATCAACTATAAATGAATTAAACTTCGAGTAACAACATTATAGTAGTACAGACATTATAGGTAGGCAGTTATGCAAAATAAAAAGTTAAAATCACATGTTTAAAAATGAACCGGCAAAGAAGAAGTATTATTAATATCACATCAAATCCTATCTCATCAATACCTACTGTATTGACACTATATAAATATATAGCTCGAATAACCAGAAGGAGACTTTGTACATAAGTCGTTTGCGTGAGCACATCTGTCCCATTCGTGTTTCTACCGTGAAACAGTTGTATTTGCATGGCTAGGTTTCGGTTTGAATAAAAATATGGTAGTGAATTTACAGAGTACAACGAACAACATCTGAGTCCTCAGGAATGGCAACGCAGGTGGGATATTATGAGTGAAACAGTATACTCTGTTATGTCCATGGTACTGCTCATGTCTATAGGCGACAGTTATCACTTTCCATCAGGTGGGCCGTCAGATTGTTTGCCATTCTAAGTTGCACAAAAAAAAATAAACAGTAACCCATCATTGTGTAATAACAAATTTCATTATTGTCATGTTTTATTCAATGATTCTAATTGTGAGCGTATTTGATTTTTACTTTTCTTTATTTCCAGGTAGCTCGAGGCGTCTACATTTATTTTCTAGCGAAAATGTCAGAACTGCTAGACACAGTTTTCTTTGTAATTAGGAAGAAGGACAGACAGATCACCTTCCTCCATTTGTACCACCACACAGTCATGCCTATGATCTCGTGGGGTTGCACTAAATATTACCCCGGGGGTCACGGAACCCTTATTGGGGTCATAAATTCCTTTGTACATATCGTTATGTACACATACTACATGTTTGCCGCCATGGGACCCCAATTCCAGAAGTACTTATTTTGGAAGCGTTACATTACAACTTTGCAGATGGTGAGTATTTACTTATAGCTAGATGTTATCTACAAGCAAACAAATTAAAATCAGTAATACTTCAGTCGAATAGTTGACTGTGGTCAGGCGATTCCAATATTAAACCGTAGACTCTCAATTTTAAAATTCATATTTGGTTTGGTGGGAGACTGTACAAAAGTCGTTTGCCCAACACCTTTGTCCCATTCGTGTTTCTAACGTGAAGCAGTTGTTTGCATGAATGTATTTTGGTCTGAAGAATGGGATATATATGGTAGTGAATTTACAGGGTACAGAGGAATAATATCTGAGTCCTCAGGAATGGCAACGCGGGGGGGGTAACATGGACGAAATAGTATATTCTGTTATGTCCATGGTACTGCACATATCTATAAGCGCACTTCTTCCCACTTTTCATCAGGCAGGTCGTCAGCTTGTTTGCAATTCTAAGTTGCATAAAAAAATCATATTTGCATCATTTAAACATGACTATCATTCGCTACGTGCATCAGAAATATACGTACAGGGTTGCCAGATGCAATTTTTTACTTTTACCCAAATGTAAAAATGTTTTTTCCAAATAGATAGGATTTCTTTTACTTTTACGCAGTTATGAACTAGTATAAATTTTCACTACGTTTAGTCATAAATCACAAAAAGAACGACAAAAAAGACACGATTTCGTGTGTTTTCTAATTTTATTTTCCACGTCATATCTTTTGTTTTACTACCTTTATTTTCGTTTCTGTAGCTGGACAGAAACAGGTAAGATGATGATCCCACTCAGATGAGTCATACTAGACTGTTTTTCATAGTTCAGATTTCTATAGTATTATAAAATGCAGTCATTCCCTGCCGTTCTTTCGAGCTAACATGAATCTTAATTAGTAATTCTCTTAATTTAAATATGACTGTTTGAAAAAAGAACTATAAGAACTACATATATTACATTTGTAAGAGTGCAAATATCATCTTTTTATGTTCCAATTAGTACCCGAGTAATTTTTTCTGTATGCATATTATTAATTATTGACCCCTTATTTTTTTTCCAGCTTCAATTCTGCATTGCTTTCTTGCACTCTTCACAATTACTGTTCTACGACTGCGGTTACCCTAGATGGTCTGTTGTGTTCACTTTACCGAATTCCATATTCTTCTATTACTTATTCTACGACTTCTACTATAAAGCTTATGGTAAAGATGAAAGTAAGGCGAAGAAGAAATTAGAGAATGGAAATGCAATAAATGGTACAGAGACACAAAGAGAAATAGAACACGTCAAAAATGAATATAAAGCTACCAATGGAATCAAGAATGAAAAGAATAATGGGAAGAAAGTCGATTAAAATGATCTAGGTTACATAGTTATTGTAAATATTATAACAGTTATGAATTTATCTAAATATGAACATTAGATAAGTGATTGAATTAAGCAAGATGAAGTTAAAACATACGGATTTTTGTTTGGTACTGAAAATTAAGATTAGGTTACATAGGTTTGGTTATTTTTTGGAAAGATGTTCACAAAGTGTAACAAGTTGTGTATTGTAATGTACTAATTACTAGTATTATTATATGCTTTGATATTTTTTAAATGAATGCAATTGGACAAAGTCAAACTAAAGCATTTAAAATCATAGATCGTGCAAAATACATGAGTAATTTAATTTAGATATTTCTAATTATGCAATTTACAGTTGTTTACAAAATTAGTAGTCGCAAAGCAATGTAATTATCGATATAAAATTTCGTTACTTGATATTTGAAATGCTTAAACTTTTCTCTGTTCACTATTTAGTCGATTATATTTATTTTGTTTAATTCCGCTTCTATTAGTATGTGCTAACTTCGACTGATAATAATAGCGGTCAATCTTCTAATGTTGGCAGTCACGCACATACTAATGGTAGCGGAATTAAACAAAATAATTGTAATCAACAAACCAATTATATAGACTTCTATAGTAAAAAATAACAGTTCAGTAAAATATTCTTTGTTCACTTAATACTTCAAAAGTCTACGGTAAATTTTGAGTCAATAGATTTTTATTCAGATTTTAATATATTTATTTTATTTGTTTAATTAAAATCGGTAACAGCAATATGTTTGTATATATAGGTTGTCCAAAGAATTTATACAAATTTTAACACTTTATAACAACAAAACATGATATCATGGTTCCGATATATAATTAAACAAAATTATATTTAACAATAATTTCTTTACGACAAATGCAAGGTTTTAAAAATAATATTTCGATTACCTAATCAAATTTGCAATTTGTTTGTAAAAATACACTATCAAAGTCTATAAGCGAATTTAAAATGAATTTAATTATTGTTGAAAATTTGATACACTTTATGTTATGTTAAAGTGTAAATAGTCGTAAATTTAAGCAATAAATACCCGCTTGGTAGGTCGTAGGTGGCTGCTATAAGGACCGTGCTCAATTTATTTATCTACAATTACTAAATTTATTTTTAAACTATAGGTTTAAATATTGTTTTTAGTAACAAAATCAGTTACCATTTTTTGTAAATGTAATTAATAATTTAATTAACTTACTTGTACAGACAAATTCTAATATTAAATTAAAATTTTTAATAAATAAGTTATTTGATTTAAACTTCATTTAATTATATATATTCATTATGGTAAAGTTAAAAGTGTGTTCTAAATAAAGTGAAATGAATTTTAATATGAAATTAATATTATGAACTTCTAGAGTTGTTTGTAATATTGCTCCGATTTCAGCGCTAGATACTGCAATTCTGTAAGATTTTTCTATACTTATATTTTACGCTTTATGTAATATAAATATTATGATATTTTGGGTTTTATATTACAAAATATAATAGGTTACATTCATCATGAAGGGTATCATGAGCGACACAGTATATTTTGATACGAGCATATACATAGTACTGTTCATGTCTATAAGCGATCATTACCACTTTCCATCAGGTGGGTCGTCAGCTTGTTTGCCATTCTAAGTAGTATAAAAAAATATATGGAAAAGTAGTAAAATATTTTGCTAATGATTATAATCCCCAATTAGGTCAATGGAAATAGTAGTGTTATTTTTTTCTTGATAGATCTATTTCTCGTATTGGAAGTGTAATTATGTATTGATGTATGAAAAAATATCCGATCAGTCCCCTTAATAATTATGACGCATTCAAAATATTATACTTAGGTATGTTGTATCATAAAAATATTAAAAAGTGCAAGAAAAGTTGAAACAATATAAATATACGCTAATTACACTTTTAATTAAATTAAAACGTTTATCCTTTTGTGTATTTTTGTGTGTGTTGAAGGTGGATGGATACAAGTACTGGGGGAGACCTTTTTTTAAATCAATTAACTATTTCACAAATCAATACCTCAATGCGAGCGAAGAAAAAATGCAAACTAAAAAATGCTAGGCGTACTTTATTCATTTTCAACCGACTTCAAAAGGAATGAAAGGATTTTGTTATATTTTTTTTTATATTTCTTACCTCGTAACTCCGCAGTTCTAAACCGATTTGGAAAATTATTTTCCATCAGAAAAGGTATACTAACAGATTGGTGCTATTAAAATTTCATCAAAGTCGATTCAGTAGTTTAGTTTTTAAATCAAAATTACTGGCTTTATAACTATTGAACTCGTTTTTTTTTTTGAACACAATCTTTAATTATATCAATAAAGTGTGCCACCATTAACATTAAATTAAAAGCGAAATATAGGGAAGTTATGACATTTGAACAAATTGAAGACGTCCTCGTTTTGAAAAAACATTTCAACAATAAGTATGCTTGCTTTTTACGCAAAAACAAAGCTAAGAAGAGTCGTTAGTACTCATACTCTAATAATAAATAAAACTTCATCAATTATTCAACATATAAATGTTTGAAATAAAGAATAGTTATTATATTTGTATATACATATTCTTGTACCAGCCGTTAACTGCCTACTGCTGACATAACCTCCCCCAGTCAGGGTTTTGTCAGAAGTTGCCACGCTTGGCAGGCAGACTAGGCTTTTGGGAATGTTTTAAGAATGACACTGTTAACCATCCCTCCACCATAAGCTCCTACGACACTCACGGGAAAGAAAAAAGTGGCCTATTTTATATCGAGACCTATACGGATATGTGTATGTACATATATCCAATACCAAAAATGTGACTTCTTTTAAAAATGTTGGTCTATATATGTCTTTTTAAAATATCCACATTATAAAAAATAATAGAGAATAGAAGATTGTGTATATTATCTAAACTAACATTATAAAGAGGAAAGATTTGACTATTTATTTGTAACGGATAAACTTAAGAACTACTCAGCCGTTTTATTAAAAAAAAAAAATCACCTATAGAAAACTACATTATCACTCAGTATGTTTTATTTTAGAAAATTCTATCTATCCGTGCGAAGCCGGGCCTGATCATTAGTGTTAAATAAAATAATTTCTGTACAATTTTGTCGTTTCTTTCATCCTTTACGTTAAAATTATCAATTATTATTATACTCATTGATCTATTTCAAGTTTTTAATGAAAAATATTTGCATTGCTTATACATTAAATTTAAAGAGGTATATTATTGAATAAGCAAAATATATAAAATCTTTATTGAAAATTAGAAAAAAAAAAGAGTAATAATTGAAAATTATGTAGGATACGCCCCTAAGTTCAGCCTGCGCCAAAGATCAGCCACCTTGAGACTGGTTTTGTCCAATTGACGTCAATTTTTCTTTATGAACCACATTTTAATTATGCATTAAAATTATAAGATAATGTCAAATAAAGCGTTTTTGCCATTTTAAAATGAATTTTGCAATATTTCGATATTGGTTACTCTTTAAAGCCAATTTAAGTATTGTAAAATATATTAAGGTACAGTAAAATATATATAGTTATTAAAATAATTAGTAGGCTGATATTAGTGTATGATAATCAAACAAATTCTAAATAGTTATGCCCGTATGTAACGATTATCACTTTCCATCAGGTGGGCTATCAACTTGTTTACAATTCTAAGTTGAGTAAAAAAAATATACACTCGGGGTGGCTGACTTTATAACGCTTCTAAGTTCAGCCATCTTGTAATATATTTTTTACCAAGTGACTAATAATGCAAAAATTGTTTAGAACACTGACAGTACCTACTGACAGAGAAAGGATTATTAATAATGAGGGTTAGCAACCTCATTGCTAGCAATAGACACTTTCAGGACGACTACCTCGCGGTTCTCCCTGGAAAGAATCGTGATTGATTTATTGTTGAATTCGTCACGACGAGCTAACTGACTAGATAGGTGAGAATGAAGCAGGGATGATGAGTGATGTTGATAGGTGACGGTAATAGGTGAGGTTACTATTCGATTATAGTCCACTAAGAATGTTGTAGGTATCCATAGACTATAGTAAGCGTTTACCATAAAACGGGCTATATGCTTGTTTGGCACTGATCACTACATAGTTTAAAACAAAGTCGCTGTCGCTGTCTGTCCGTCCCTACAGCTACAAGCATACAGCTTAAATGTTTAAAACTACGCAACAGATTTTGATACGTTTTTTTTTTATAGAGTGATTCAAGAGGAAGGTTTATATGTATAATACATCCATAATATACATAGTAGAGAAACACTGATAATTTTAAAGTGTAATAATAATTCACCCGTGCGAAGCCGGGGCGGGTCGCTAGTATGGTATAAAAAACTGTTTCTTATAAAAGGTAGAATAAAATACCTTTTCAAACAAATTCGACATGGAGACATTCAATAAAGAAATCAGGAGGAGGAGAATCTGAGGGTAATTACAGAAGTTGCTTGTGATATGCTGCGGTGATCTCTTACCATCAGGTAAGCCGCATGCTAGTTTGATATTCTTGTCCGTAAAAAAGAAATAAGTAGCAGGCATTTTTTTTATTTTTATAAACCCCTACCTTAAGTAAACATACATTTATTATATTATATTATTATATTTATTTTTTATTATATTTATACAATTTGAAATTTTTACATTTCAATATACATAGGCACTTGATAATAATAGAAAATTTTGTGAATTTATGAAACTAAATAATACTTTCTTTAAGGAAAGCGAAATATGAAGTCACATATATCAAATGGATCACGTGATCGCAGGTTTAATAAATTATTTTTTTGATATAACTCGTTCAGTTTCATGAACATACTGGAATGCATTTTAATGTGTACTTTCTGTTATTATAAATAACAATTATTAAAAAGTAAACAACTCGGCATCTATTTATTATAATTAATTTTGTATAATGTTCACATAAACTCTTTTTTTAAAAAAAAAAAAGATGTGTTCATAAAAATTAAATTAATTAATTACGTAAATAATAAAATATAAAATTCAATATAATATAAAATATATCATGCAGAGATTATTTTACACAAAAGTAATTGAATAAAAAATATTTCGGAAATAATTATTTCAAAATAGTATTATTATCAGACTATTTTGCATAAATATACTTTAAAAGTGAATTTTGACGTTTAGATTTTTATCTCAAGAGAAATAAAATTATAGTAAAAATTATAACAAAATTATAGTAATGAATCTTGTTCAATGTGACTTACATACTATATTTACTATGTGAGTATGTTACTTAAAATTTTACCTTAAACTCAAATACTTCTCATCAAGAGTGTATTTTACATATTTTCCTATATAATACATAATAAAACCTTACATCAACATGTATTTATTTTTAAATACTAATATTATAAATATAAAACAAAAAATCTAAAAGGCAAAATGCTAGTTTTAATATAACATTGAATTTACATTGATAAACTATTGCTAATGCTCATAAGCACAAACCTATAGGCATTATGTTTGAAATGGTTGTTGTATTTACAGACTTAATACATTGAACCTTTTTACACGTTTTATACAAGTACCAAGACGTGTAAATTTAACATAAGTTTCGCTAACATATTGGTACTCTCATTGGCACTTCTCTGTTTTCTTATATTCTGCATTATAATTCTTTTTGTAAAAGTTTGAGAAAAGAAGTATAAATACGAAAGTGTTGCTTATGATAAATCCGGCAATGCCTTTAGATGGCGGACAGTCCGATGTCTTTACGGCGCTGAAGTATTGCATGATTATTAAAACGAACTGTATCTGAAATGAAAAAGGTTATTAGTATATATATATATCCTTAAACCCATACAGACTATATCCGTGTGGTTCCAGCATTGAGTACGTAATGATCGAAGAAGGGCAGTAACGTCCCTTTAATAACATCACCATGGCTTAACTATGGTTGCCAATCTGCTTGCCAAACGTTTTTTTTTATGCAACTTAGAATGGCAAACAAGCTGATGCCATTGCTGATGTTATTCCTGAGGACTCAGGTGTTATTCTTCTGTACCCAGTAAGTTCACTGCCATATCCCACCCTTCAAACCGAAACACAACCATGCAAACACAACTGCTTCACGGTAGAAATACGAATTATAAAATTTTACCTTCTTGGCATAAATAATAAATTATTAACATAACAAATAAATAATAAAACTTTACTTACTAGTTGAAAACTGGTCATGTATTTTTTCCATGTAAGATATTTAGCAATATTTGGCCCCAAAGCCGCCAGTCCGTAATAAGTGTACATGAAAACATGTACTAAAGAGTTCAGAAACCCAATAAATATGAGGGTGTGCGATGGTGAATACTTTAGCATCGCCCATGTGCCTATCACCATGACCGTGTGATGGTATAGATGGAGGAAAGAGATCTGGCTAGTCTTCTTTCTTAACACGAAGAACACTGTATCTAGAAGTTCGGATACTTTTGCAGCGAAGTACAACCATATGCCCATGATGACCTGTAAATAATTTTATGTATTAATGTACATGTAATATAGTATCATTAGTAATTCTACCAGATTTAGAATATACAAAGGCGTCTGTTTAGACACCTTTGCTCCACTTGTGTTTCAACGTTGTTTGATGTTTCGTAGATATATTAGATAGAACATAGATAGACAAATAAATAATTTAGTTGTACTATTTACTCGTACAGTACACAAATAATACCAAACACAGATAGGTATACAAAAATATTTTTGTGCATGTTTTTATGCTCTCTCTCTCTCTATCTCTCTCTCTCTCTCTCTTACACACTCTCTTCTGTGCATGTTTTTTGTAGTCTCTCCTTTTTTGTATTTTCTCTCTTGAGTGAGAAAAAATACAGAAAAAAGGAAATATACAAAATAGAAAATATAATATAGTAAATAGAAAATAATAAATACTTTTATATGTATTTTCTTTATTTAATGTATTGAACTAAATTTTGTTTAGTGAAATCGTGTATTTACTAGCAGATTACGTTTCGTTTCAATTAGTATTATGCGATAGTTTTTTTTTTATACAATTACTATTAAAAAAAAGTCATTTAGCTTATTAGTATAGCTGTGTTTCAGTTGGAGCAATTATATCCGTATGTGGTAATGAGATTACATAATAAGAAGACTACATGAATAACAACGCACGATTGGGACGGATACCACGACCGTTACAGTATACCCAGTGAGAGGAGGGGGGAGGGGGTGCTAGCAATATACCCTGTCAGGTCAACCTCAACGTGGTCTCCCCTGGAAACTAATGTGCTGAATTCCAGTTGTATTCATTACTATGGGTTTACTGACCTGCCTTTACATTCTCACCTATCAGTCTGTAGATTAACATAACATTAACACTTTACATAAGATGGGTCATCATCTTATTTTTAAGTAGATATGTAACTATAAAATTATGTCATAAATTAATCAATAACTTCCATTTGCAAATAATGCAATAATAATACAATGCAATATACACCCTAATGCACACATCATACATATTAAAATAAAATGTAAATGATGTATAATCATGAATTATTAATTAAATCCATCAAAGTTAATGTTATCGCAATTGGTATTTCATATATATTAAATTCAAATTATCTTTATTCAAATACACTTCTAATTTTAAATCGTCATTTTTTATTAATCTACTGAAAGGTTTAAAAAGTTGTCACCTACTGAGAAGAATCCGCAAGATACTTAACTGTTACTCTTTTAAATATCTCTTAACATTGTGTGTATTTATTTAAATGTACTATGTCTAAAATTACAAGGTCATTAAAAAGCCCATGTTTGATTGACTAATATGATCATTTATCATACATTAATACAGCTATAATTTTATAATTACTTGTACTGTGTTACATCATATAATAACAGGAATTCTTGAAAATCCAGTCCTAAATATTACAAAAATCCCTTTAATTGAATTTCGAATATGTACGTTTTATAATTATGAAGCTATCGTGATTTATTTTGCTGTTCGCTATAATATTACTCAGTAAGAGGCATTTGTAGTAAAATTACTCAGTAATATTATAATACTGAGTTCCTGTTACTGAGAATTAATTAAAAAATGGCGGTGTGATGTGCACATCTTTTAATTTCCCACCCTCATAGCAATTACTAAGAGACTTCTTATGTAAAAGTAGTGAATCTGTGAACCGAATTACAAATATGTTTTAGTTTTATGACTTTTAAATTTTTTTATGAATATTACTGAGTATTATTAGTAAAATTACTCAGTAAACTGTATTGCAATTCGGAGTTTCTATCTCAAGTGAGTTATCAAAAAGTCCTTCCTGTAGTTATTACTGACATACCTGTTTTCTAGTACCTTCTTGATCCATGTGACATGTTTTGGGCACGAGACCCATGTGCAACAAATCGCTGGTGAACTGAAAATATAAATATTAAATGGTAAGAAAATTAATGTAACAATTTGTAATTAATATATGTACTTATTAAAAATAAAAGCAAGAGACGGTGCAATAGTTTTAATTATATTACCAAGTATTTTAATAGATATACCCCAACATTACGCCGCATTAGACAGGCATTATGCAAAAACAACTAAACCAAAATGAGTGAGGTTTTCACAGTTGTATTCCTGAAGGTGTAACTTAAAAACAAGTGTATGTTTTATATTGATACGTTATTTCAACATGGTATATTTCATTCGTTTTCTTACATCTGAAATCTATACGTATGAAGGGCAAAAAGCTAGACTAATAAAAAATACCTGCCCATTTCTATCTGTTCTCCTTTAACCAAAGGTTATCTGTAAGAGATTGCCCTAGCGATAAGACCGCCTTTTGTACCTTTATGTGTATATTTTAATCTATATTTTTGTTACTGTATTTCACTTGAATTATTCACTTGTCATTGTATATTTTTATTTATGGTGCAATAAAGTGTTAAATCAATAAATAAATACTCACTCTGCCCACTAGATATACAGATGCCGCCACTTGTATGGCGTTATATATTAAGAGCGTTTTTTTCAATTTGTACGCTTCCCTTTTCCTCATAAATGCAGGCCCAACTTTCAATATGAACAGCAAATATATAGCTATTATCATAACCACTGGACCAAGGGTTGCCATCAAGGGGTATTCATCGACTTCTGGGTCTGGTGATAAAAAAAATCATGAAAAAATTCAAGATATGTTATAATAAATTGTTCTATAAAATACATTTTAACTTGTAACAAAATCAATATGAGATCAAAACGGGGATTTATTGGTTTGACCAATGGTTGACTGGCAAAGAACACCATCCGGTGTTAAGTCCTCCATTTACACTTTTTAAGTGTATTAAAATAGGATGGTGTGTGTGTTTCGATTTGAACGGGTGAGATATGGCAGTCAATATACAGGGTACAGATTAATAACATCTTAGAGGACTGGCAACGCGTGGGGGTGCCATGGGCGAAACAGTATACTCTGTTATGTCCAAAGTACTGCTCATGTCTATAGGTGACTGTTACTACTTTCCATCAGGTGGGCCGTCAGCTTCTTAGCCATTCTAAGTATGGTGTTATACCTCAGTAGTCTGTAATTTACTATCATGTCCTACTCTTCAAACTAAAGTATAGCCGTTATCACAATAGATTCATAATTAACGATAATTCTCGTAATATACACACAAGAACTTAAAAATTAATTCCACATATATGTCTTTGAATGGGATAAAATTAGTACAAATCTAATTAGCAATAAGACCGCCTTTTGTACTATACTATACGTATTGAAAATTGTTTTAACAAATCATAAAGTGTTAAATAAATAAATAAATAAATAAATATAAATTAAATTATGCATCCAATATAACATAAATTACGTACAATAGAGATTTTACAATACAGTGCAATACAACCATACCAAATGGATTTTTTTTATATAATGACTAATTAAACTAGCTAATATACTACTAATAATTATTAAGAATACTAATAATACTACTAATAATTAAGAATATAAAATTTATAATAGTGTATAAATTATAAGGTATAGTCAGTGTAATAAGTTATATGTGTTTAATAGGTTCTTCAGATACATGCTTGAGCCATATGGGGACCATTGTTAAGCAATTTTGTAATTTACTGTTTTTAATTAAATATTATTATTAATAATAATTAAATTATATTAAAAAAGTTACTTCTTCAATGGGGGGAGGGTTAAGAGGTTTCTTCAGGGTCGGCAACGCACGCGTAATACCTCTGGTATTGCAGGTGTTCATAGGCTACGGTAACTACTTACCACCAGGTGGGCCGTATGCTTGTTTGCCACCTCAAAGGCATAAAAAAAAAAAAACTTTATCAGTAAATATATATCCTATTAATATAATAAATGCGAAATTTGTATTAATGATTGAGTGGGTGGCTAGATAGATAGATAATTTAATACTCTTGTACACAAAAGCTTCTGAAAGTATTTGAATAACATTTTGGTACACGAATATGGTATATTATATCCTAACTTAGCAGATAGGATACCTTATATACTGATTCTCGTAGGTAAAAGGCGTGGAATACAGCCAGTCAATAATAAGCTAGTTATAAGCTCCTATGTATAGTTAACAAAATGGTTATTGTAGACTGTAAATGTAAAAACTAAACTGAATACGAAATACATCTTTGTAAATAAACTTACAAAATGAAATATTTTGTAGACAGAATATAGTAACTTAAGTAGTATCTAAGTCTGTGGTTTGACACATCACAGGAATTTCAAAATAATCACACTAATTTAAAAATAACACGCAACTATTGTAACTGTGTTAAATTTTATCGTTACTAATGCGCAAAGTGTGTATTGAAAAGTATGTGTAATCTATACTTAGAAATGAGACTATAAGCAAGTGCATTTAGGTAATAGAAACCTATAAACTATTCTTCAGGTAAACAGGTAAACTAAGCAATAGTAGTTTATGCTATATCTGTGTTATGTATAAATATATTTTAACTGTATAATAGTCCTCAGGAATGACAACGCGTGGGGGGTATCATGGGCGAAACGGTATACTCCGTTATGTCCGCCTATTTTTATAAACAATTTAAAACACCAAATTAAATTTTATTTTTATAAACGCTAGCATAGTAATGAATTTTCGAAATAAGATCACATGTAAATCAAAAATATACTTATTAAAAAAAAAAGACTGGATTTAGCCTATTTGTGTATACAATCCAAAACAGAAAAGAATTTTTGCAAAATTACATACTTTGTAGGTATATTGATAATTTTTAAAACGAACTGACAAAATAACACTATATCTAAAATAATAATGAATAAATTAAAATAAAAAAAAATATATCAAATATTATATTTATCTATATTTAAGTATATTAAATTTAAATATCACAGCGAAATTATTATTACAAAAAATATTGTTTTTAAATTCATATAAATATATAATATATTCGTATAATAAGAAAAAGGAAAAATACGAGTTAATATAAGTATAGTTTAGTACTTACATGCTCCTTTGTTTAAATCCCAATTGGGATTTTTTATTCCAAATCCAACACCCATTGTGGATGAATATTCACTTGCGACTTGTATTAATGAATCTGTACAAAAGTGTTTTATATTATAAATGCCTACTTAGATAGGTATATACTATTCGTTATATTATATACTACTTACGGTAGTAGATACTATTCAGTACTAAACTAGACAAGCTGACTTCTCGCCTGGCCATTCGCAACTAACTGATGAAAATATTTCCTTAACTATAAGTCTCTTAATACATTTATATTACAGTAATTAATGTAACGATTATTAAATACCCGAATTTGTGACTCGTTTTGTGTATGAATCATTACCATGAAAATGTAGGTAGGCATGTCGTGTCATTTCTGAACGTTCTATAGTCTTGCGTTCGGTCATGTACATTGTTATACAAGCAAAAAATGAAGTCAATATGACATATTGTAAAAACACTGTCATTCAAATATAGAAAGGACTGCAGGAATATCTTTAATGCATGCTTTTATAAAATAAGAAACTTTTTCTAAACAGATAAATTAATTAAAAACTAAATAATCTGTGGTAATATTTATTTTATATGTTTTAAAATACCGTTTTTTTATGGGTGAAAATGGTATGGTAACCCTAGCCTGAGGTAACAGTATACTCTGACGGAGCACCAGTGAGGGGTGATAGGTGTGAATGAAAACAACCTAGTTAGTCCATCATGATGAATTTATCAGGAATAAACTATGATAATTTCCTGGTGGGTATATTGCTAGCAATAGGATTCTTAGTCTCCATTATTAACAATCCCTTTCCCCTTAAAATGTAATTTTTAAATGTTCTATTCGTTTTTTACCACTTATCAGCTGTATTCGCATGGACATTTTTTGGTCTCTCTTTATGGTTGATAATGGAATGGTAACCCCTACGCTATTGGTATATGATGGCGGACCAGTGAATGTTTGATGAAGATAGTTTCCAGGAGGAACCGCGTGGAGGTCGACCTGATAGAGTATATTACTAGCAATGGAGATTTTAGATCTCAATTACTAACACTCCCTTCCACATGGTGTTTTGGTTTAAGGGCAGTGAAATTACAATGTACTGAAACATAACACTTGTAATCTTTTAGAGAAAACAATAAAGACTATCTATCTATCTATCTATTTATAATCTTCTGGAATAGTAAGATATAAATAGGTAATATTACTACCGCTCTGATTATATATATATATTATATATATATTATATATATATATATATATATATATATATATATATATATATATATATATATATATATATATTATATTGGGTTCCTCTAGTCCTTTATAACTGGAAAAAGGTCATCGACCATTTCGATATCACTTATAATGGTTGGATATCAAGATTCATTATTTTTTTTTTATATACAACTTAGAATGGCAAACAAGCTGACGGCCCACCTGATGTAAAGTGGTAACCGTCGCCTATATATATATATATATGAGCAGTACCATGGACATAACAGAGTATACTGTTTCGCTCATGATACCCCCCATGCGTTGCCATTCCCGAGGACTCAGGTGTTATTATTCTGTACCCAGTAAACTCACCCCATATCACACCCTTCAAACCGAAACATAGCCATGCAAACACAACTGCTTCACGGTTGAAACCCGAATGGGACAGAGGAACCTAAGCAATCGACTTTTGTACAAAGTCTCCCTCTGTTGGTCATTTCGATTAGGTGCTTCATTTATATATAATATATTGGATAATTTATATAATTTATATGTCGTTACTGGTATATAAATATTATAACTGCAATATATAGATACTAGATTTTACTCGTGACTTCATCCTCGTGACTGAGATGATTACTGACCGGAATGAAAATTAGCCTATATCCTCCTCCGTCTCAAATTTCATAATGATTGGTAAAGCTATTAAGGCGTTATAAGGTAATAAACAAACGCTTTTTCACATTCAAAGGGAGACTGTACAAAAGTCGATTGCTTGGCCACCTCTGTCCCATTCGTGTTTCTACCGTAAAGCAGTTGTGTTTGCTTGGCTGTGTTTCGGTTTGAAGGTTGGAATATGGTGTGAATTTATAGAGTACAGAGGAATAACACCTATACACCTAATAACGGGGTATCATTGGCGAAACAGTATACTCTGTTATGTCCATGGTACTGCTCATGTGTATAGGCGACGGTTACCACTTTACATCAGGTGGGCCGTCAGCTTGTTTGCCATTCTAAGTTGTATAAAAAATAATAATGTTATAAGTAGTAAGGATTACCATATATTATCTATTCCTAGTAAAGTATCCCTGGGTGTTACCCCACCTCATCAGACATTTTTATAGTAAACCGATTAGGAATGTCATCAATATTTTTATGATTAGAAACAAATGACCATATAAACTACTTTCTACCCTAAAAATACTTCTATGACTGCCATCCATTCTTCAGAACTCCTATAATTACCCATTTATCTATGGATTTACCCTCCACACCATTAAAACAATGTAAATATATCAAGATATAGATTAAAATATATAAAATTTTCAAGAAAAATATTCTGTGTAGGGTAATATATAAAAATGAGGGGAAGGAATTGTTAGTAATGGGGAGGTTATTCCCCATTATTACCAATATACTCTCCTATCAGCTTGATCTCCACCCGGTTCCCCCTGGAAACTATCGTGACTTGTTTATCGTTGTATTCGTCACGATGGGCTATACTAACCTGCCTTTTCATCCTCACCTATCATCTCTCACTGGTGCTCCGCCAGTGTATACCGATAGCGCAGGCGGGGTTGCCATGCCATTTTCAACCATTAAAAATATATAATCATATCAAATCATATTTATTCGCTTGCTACATGGTACAATAAGAAGTTACATATACAAGTAGGTACATAACATGCAGCACCCCGTAGAGGTATGCAAATGTTACATTGTATTTAGTCTCTATATATATATATATATATATATATATATATATATATATATATATATATATATATATATACATAAACGCATATTCACATTTATATATTAACTATTTGTAGCTAATTGCATTAAGAGCTATCTTTGTAAATGACAAAACCCCCCAAGGGGGAGGCTTATGTTCAGCAGTGGACAGTTAAAGGCTGACATAATGACGATGACGCGACAATGATCATATATCTGTACAAATATTATGCACGCAAATATATTTCTTTTATATATTTATTTATAAAACATTTTATTTGATATTTAATTTACAAAATAAAAAACCTACGTACACATTATGTGAATGATAATGAAAATGACTGATAGAATAATGTTTGTACAGTCATTAAGTACAATAACACCGGGTCAATAGTCTATTACCGATGTATTATTTTGATACAAAACTGTACATCTATTTTACATATTTAAATATTGCGTTTCGCAGAAAAAAAAAAGAAAAAACTAGTTATTTTAGTCTAAAACTAAATTAATGAATCCATTTTGATATATTTTCTACGAGAATAATCCGTAAGTATATAGTTTTAAATAAAAAAAAAATATCCAAATCGCTTTAGAATTGACGGAGTTGTAAATAGGAATATAAGTAACATACATTTCTTGTAATTGTTTATATTTATAATAAGTTTACTATTGTAATCTTTTGGAGGAAACAATAAGGAGTATCTATCTATCTATCTATCTACATAAAAATTACAACCGAATTAAGAGTATCCATCCTGTTGAAAATATAAATAATAAATAAGTGTAAAATAAGCATAGTTAAACTTGTCCTATGTCTTTTTCTTCATAACGAGCCATTATAAGGTCAAGAAGTAAAAAAAACAAATAAAACTTTATAATATTAATAAAAGGGTACGAAGGCATTGTTAGTAGTAGAGGAGTAAACTCTATTACTAGCAATATACCCAGTCGGGTCGACATCTACGCGGTCGTTGCTGGAATACGTCGTGTTTGTTACCAATTGAAATAATTACAGTGGTCTAACTGACTTGCCTTTTCTTCCCTAACTTTGAAGTCGGTTAAAAATGTCTAAACAATAATGAAGCTTGTACCAAAATCTATTGCGTGGTTTAAAAGAAATGAGTATAAACAGACCCAACGTAAAAAAATGACTTTGTATTTAATTATTATTTAAATAAATTTAAATTATCTATATATTACCTAAAAAAAGAAAATGTATGCATACCATTACTGGAAAAATATTATTAAAAATATATAAATGTTTTCGAGTGGCGACCCCGTACGGGCAAATGCAGTGTAAGACTACATCCCACTAGGCAGAGTGACAACTTTAAATGCAAGAAGTCAGTAGATACAAGGGGTTCGAGACCGTTCCTTATGGCAGTTTATGGGGGAAGCCTATGTCTAGCCTATTATTATTAAAAAAAAAAAAAAACAGATTAAAGATAATTACTTATTATGTAACAGTTTTCTATTACATAATCGTCCTTTCACTTAACCCGACCTTGAAATGTCATGTAAATTTTTTCAAGAAACGAAAAAGTATTTAGACAAACTTTATAATTCTATTAATATGAATAAGACACAGAGAGAAGAGAATCTTTACAAATATTAAAAAAAAAAAAAATCATAGTAACTATTATTTTTACTTACCTTTTAATAAAATTGTGGATTAAAAACCGATACGTGTTGAGAACGCGTCACTTGGCAGACTAGAAACTTCTATGGAATTAATGTGTGCCTACCGTCAATAATGGACTTTTTGACAATTACAAAAAAAACACAACTACCCTACAATTCGGTCAGACATTTGTGCTATTTGAAAGAGATGTACTTCATTATCGTCATAATTTTGTCTAAATCAACCGACTTCAAAAAAGGTGGTGGGTTTTTAATTTGGTCGTTTTTGCTTTTAAGTTAGTTACCCCATAACTCTGTTATACCAGGGAGCCCTTAAAAAGGGTTGTCAAATGTTTTTAGAAGTGACTTACTAGTACTTATGGGGTATCATATGTATGATAGGGCTGATTTATTTATATGCTGCCTAGCTTTTTAGTTGTGATAAAAAATAATAAAAAAAAAAGATCTCTTCTTATCTCTGAAGCGAAAAATCTAAAATAATTACGGATTATATATTTTTGTATCTGAATATTACAAGAAAAATAACTGCAATTAGCACTATTTATATAAAATTTAAACAAACATCACCAAAAACACGCTTGGGTTCAGTGTTTAACAATAGTTGAGATTCAACATAAGAAATTATTTTATTTATTTATTGATAATACTTCTGACAGTGCTGGCGTTCATAGGCTACGTTAACCGCTTACCATCAGGTGGGCCGTATGCTTGTTTGGCACATCAGTGGAATAAAAAAAAATTAAATTTACTAAATGAAATTATAAGATGGGTTTTCTCTCTCAAACGATCATATATCCCTAGCTGTGGAGGATGTTGCAACACTAATACCGAGTTCTATCAGACTTGAAGACTACAAAAAAAAACTGTTTAGAATAGTGAATCACGGTTCTTCATTTAAATATTTATTTATTATACCGTATTAATATTTTATCAGAATTTTAATGTCGGTAACGCAACAATTATAAAAGATATATGCGATACGATTATACATTGGTAATGATTGTTATTAGGATAATGATAATAGAACTCGTAGGCAATAGCATAGAATGCGGTTGACATAACCCGCTCCATCTTAAGACATCAAAACACAAGTAAACTGGCTAACTACGTGGCAAAACCTCTCGTAAGGCTATATTCAGCAGTGGATATTTAACGATTGATACAAATAAAGTGGTAATAATATAAAATAAAAATTGTAGTCCCAATAAAAATACTATACTATCGTGTAGCTCCGGCATAGAATAGGCCACTCCATCCTTTCTCGTTAGTGTCGTAAGAGGCGACTAAGGGAACTTAACAGTCGAGGGATGGGCAGCTTAAGAACATTAACAACTTAAGAGGAGAATTTAAGAACATTAGCCTAACTGCGATGGCCAACCTGCCAACCAAGCGTGACAACTACTGGCAAAACCCTTTCGTTTTAAAGAGACGTATGTTGAACAGTGGACACTTAATGTCTGCTGTGATGAATAACACTACAAGTAATCACAAGATTCCAATACGAAAAAAATACTTACCAGAATTAGGCCACGATAAATTGAAACTTTCCATTTATAACTTTAAAAACTGTTGCCACTTGGTTAAATTTTTAATAAATAAAAAGCAAATTACAATACTTTGTCTTAAGGTAATGTAATTATTTGAATTTTTAGGATAATCATTCCAAAATGTAGTGTTCTCAACTATGCTGTTTAATGTAGGGGTAACATTCATAATTCGTAATATATTTATTTATTTCTCACCACAAACAAATTAAGGAGTTAACACCTATAACTTGCAAAACATATTAACTTGACAATTTATGTACATAAATACTGCCAAAACAACCGAATACGCAAAATGCGATGACCTACTTTTAATAATAGATTTATTTTATACTGCAAACGAGCAAAGACATGACTCGTTGACTTCTTGGAATAGAATAGAAAATTAAAAAACAATGTTGATTAAATAATAGTGATTATTATTTACAAATGTTGTAATTATAAACATATGTAATGTTACGTAAGTTACTAGTACTACATTTAACCAACTAAACGTAATGTTGACTAAGTATTCGTGTGTTTGAAATGATAACTGGACTTAAGTAATTGTTCAAGTCATACCTCAATTTGCGAGTTCTACCGCTAGTACAACAGAATGTGCTCAGAGGAATTGTTCAATGTGACATCCATGGCCACTTTTTACTATCGTACAGCTCACCATCGGCAGGGAGTTCACCCCCATACCTTAGAACTGGGATGGTCGCGTACAGCGCGGTTTCAGAGATATTTCCTTCAACCAACGTTTAGGTTATGGAATGAGCTCCCTGTTGAGGTTTTTCCAAGAGACTAGAGCATGGTGTTCTTCAAAAAAGGAGTAAAGATTCTTCGGTGTTAGCCACGCGGGCGTTAGGCCTCTGGTATTGCAGGCGTTTATAGGCTACCGCAACCGCTTACCTGATGGTAACGCTTACCATAAGGCTTACTCGATGGTAGGTCATAAGCTTGTTTGCCACCTCAGTGATATAAAAAATATACTTATATAAATAATAAATACTAAGAATTATTATACTAAGATAAAAAATAAATTGCATGCCTTTAGATAAAGTGAAATATTTAGCACTATCAATGCTTAAGCCCAATTATAAAGATCAAACTTAAACAAATAAATAATTATTATTATTAAAAATAATCTTTGTTCAAATAGATTCGTTTACAAGATTTTTTAAATCGTCGATGTTTATAATTCTACTGTTAGGTTTGGAATGTAGCTAAAATAGCTTTTTTTTTTATTTTTTTTGTTTTTTTTTTAGGATTTCATACAAAAAAGGTGCAAAGAAACTTTAAATATCTTCATAGTGAGACTTTGGCCTTCATTTTAAAAATTACTAAAACTATCGATTTTAAATTTTGAATAGTTTTACATATTTTTAGACCACATATATTTCAATGGAAATAAATGATATTTTATTTACTACAAAAGGGGTTTTCAAAATTTCAAAATTGATCTACTAGTCAAAGTGAGGCGTCACATGAAAAAGCTTCATTTGTACATTTTAAAACTATTTTTTTTTTAGATTATATAAAAAGAGCATCAAATATTAAAAACATCTCAAAATTTACTCAGCTAATTTGACGTTTGGCTGACTAATATTATTAAAATCAGAAGAACAGGCGCTTTTTCTTTCAGTGTTGCAAAGAACTAGACTGAAAATGCCTCAAATCAAGTTGAATATTTAAATTTAAATTTGGACCTGTTTTTTTTTCTGATGTAATATTAATATACCTATGTGCGTGTTGATTTTAATAAATATACTAGTATTAATTAAAATAAAGGCGGTTTTCAATGATTTAAAAAAGTGACGTACAAAATCCACCAATAAATAATTTAGCATAAAATTCATTATACAATATTTATTTAGTTTGATATCTCGTAATTTTAGGCAAAGTTGGAAAATATTGTCAGACCCCTCCCCGGAACGTTTTTCTACATGAAACAATTGTATTTCAATTTGAAGGGTATGTATGTATGAGGGATACGACTGTGTATAGAGGCACTAAGAATCGTTAGTCTTGTCGTCATTGGCTTGGTTACACAAATTGGTCCACGCACTCCGCGGTATAACGTCTGTCTTCGAGCATCGCTCCCGCAATACTGACCGCTATTGACATTTGTGACGTATGTACCCTCGTGTATGTATATTCACTCAAGACAGTGTAAATATCTAGAAGTAAAGATCAAGTGTAAAGCTATCCATACACTACATCTCTCCTTTATCGAAAACGAACAAATCAAAAAATTTCTCATCTATTTCTGAATTAAACATTAATTAATTCTGTATGGATTTAGATCTTTGATCTTGTAATTTAGTTTTGACTAAATAATAAACGTACCTGTTTACTACAGCATGGTTTTCAGTATTTACTTTGTATCTAAACAGGCTACTGTTATATTTTGTTACTCTTGTCTTTCTTCCAGGCCACTTACGCTTTACTTTCTTTCTTGCCATTTACGCATATTGTAACATTCTTAGCAGTATTGGGTTTCTTTCAACATTTGTCTAATATTATCAATTTATTTTTTGTATGTTTACCAGATATAAAATATATCAGTATTGTATGCATAGTTTAATCTGCTGAATCTTTTTTTTCTTAAAATTTTAAGAAATCGAGATTTCGATATTAACAGCTTTATTATTGGTAACTTTAGTATCCTTAAAGTATGTAACTATTTATTTTTGTCACACTCGACCGCATGTTTGAGCAAAATATTATACAATATGGGCAATATTATGGACATTCTTATGTACTACATATTTTAGGCATTTCTTTTTTGTGATCTAAAATATCAAACAACTGCTTATTATCTGTAATCGTACTAATTGAATTGTAAATGAAGTGATGAGAGATTTTTGTAATAGCCATAGTAGTTTTAATTTTCCTTTTAGTAATGAACACCGTTGTGCAAGCAAGTATACCTACTCATCCTGCATTTACTATAATATCACATGCATCTCCATTGTATTCTAAACTGTAAAGCTGCTAAAATTGAATCACATAGACTTCTGGAACTGTTAATAAATAAGCTAATCTCAATTTATAATCATTTAATTGATAATAGAAAAGTCTAAGTACACTAAGTACTCTTGTGAAGGATGTATTATTATAAGGGTACATCACAACTTTATTTTTTTAGTTACAAGCGTCGCAACCATTTTGTAAAGTTTACAACAATGTTACCTAATTTATTACGATTATTTTGTTACACTGCAACTGATACAAACTGTTATGTGAGTTCTTCAACGATATTTACTTTTGCAAGTTCATCATATCTTTACTTGCTTCACTTACTGATTGTTTGATGTTACTAATAAAATCGTTAACAAATAATAGTTTCTACGTAGTTATCGTTAAGTGTTGTTTTATATAAATTTATATATGTATAAACTTCGATTGACATAAACCAGAATGGATTTCATTCATTTACATTTATATTCCCGTGTAGTACCGGCATAGAATAGGCCGTCCTTTCTTTTCCCGTGGGTGTCGTAAGAGGCGACTAAGGTAAGGCAAGATCTTAAAACATCTCCAAAGATATGTGGTTTGTAAATGGATGATATTTAATAAAAAAATTAAGGAAGGTATTTTATTATGAGCAATAGAAGCCAAAACAATATTTTTTAGAATTTTTTGTCACAACCATTGAAGACAAAAATTATAAAATCTAGCTAACAATAGTTAGCCACAGTGAAACTAATATTTGTTCAAATGGTACATCAATTTAATTAATAAATTATGGTATTATTATTTTTTTTCTAAAATAGGCAGTTTAGAATATATCTTATACATACATAATTAAAAAACGAGACCCATACTATAGGTATGTGCAAAAGGTGTTAACATTTTCCTGATATTATAATTTATTTCTATTTTACTTACCTTTTTACGAACTGACACTAACGTGTCAGGTAAACTTAAAAATTGTTGCCCAGTAAACATCCTGAACTGTAATACATTAACGTAACATGCGTAAAGAAAATGCGTAATAGGAAAAAAAAGTGATTATCAAAATAGTTTATGAATTCATGAATGAAACATTTTTTTTATACAACTTAGAATGGCAAACAAGCTGACGGCCCACCTGATGGAAAGTGGTAACCGTCGTCTATAGACTCGTACCATGGACGTAACAGAGTACCGCCCATGACAAATTAAACTAAATTGACAATCACTGTTTTACTTTTTATTTCTACTTCTTTGCTTTTCTTCATTTTCCATTTCTTTAACATTATATTTTTTTAATGGGTGACAATCAATGGTTTTTCCACTTTTTATTTCTTAGCCCATCGTGACGAATTCAACAAGAATTGTTCACGATGGTTTCCATTTCTTATATTGCTAGTAATGGGGCTTTGTCTTTCCACATTATAGTTGAATGCACTTCTTTTTTCTTTCCTCTTGTTTTTCTTGATTTTCAACTTAATGGAGGTAAGTACAACTTATATCATTCAGAGGAAAAAGAGATTATAAGTAATGGGGATTAGCAATCACATAAATAGTAATATAAGGTATATCAGGTCGACCTCCTAGCGGGTTTCTCATGGAAATTATCGTGATTGATACATTAGTGAATTTGTGACAATGAACTAACTGACCTGCTTCATCCTCACTTATCATCCCTCACTGGTGACCCCCCAGTGTATACCGATAGCGCAAGCGAGGTTACCATTTCATTATCATCCATTAAAAAAATTTCATATCATCCAATCTTATGAGTGTGAGTAATGAGTGTTATTATTTCAAATAATTCAAGTTATTAGACAGAATATCAATTCCTACCTTTCTTAATAGTGGTAGTGACAATTTTTACAAACTTAATGGAGGTAATACCAACCCAACTTAATTAAAAGTGTTTTAGTTTTTATGAATAAAGGGGTAAGTGAATAAACATTATTTGGTCTAAGTTAAAATATTTAATTTAATTTTTTTTGTGACAAAATTTATAAATTATTGTAATAAATTGTATTGATTTAAATAGCTTTTTAGATTTTAATAAGGCAGATTTTCTTTTATTTAGACATAAACACGTATCAGGTTCACCGTGTGGTCCCGGCATAGAATAGGCCACCCCTTCCTTTCCCGTGGATGTCCTAAGAGGCGACTAAAGGAGGACGAGAGATGGGCAGTATTGTCCCTCTTAAGACATCTCCAAATCCTAACTGCGATTACCAACCTGTCTACCAAGTATGCAAACTACTGGCAAAACCCCTCAAAGAAGAGGCTTATGTTAAGCAGTGGACAGTTAAAGGCTGATGTGAATGATGAATGAAAACGTATCAAATACGCTTTGTATTAAGATGTCTAGACACGTATTGTATCTATCGCAAGTTTAAGTATACTCTGTTATGTCCATGGTACTGCTCATGTCTATGTGCAACGGTTACCAGTTTCCATCAGGTGGGCCGTCAGCTTGTTTCCATTCTAAGTTGTATAAAAAAAAACTTTTTTTATGTGGTAAGATCACCAATCTTTAGCAACCATCATAATATCTTGTAATTTGATAGATTTATGATTTAATACTCAAAATAATCTTATTCCAGCGAGACACTTCAATTTCCAATAGAATAAGAAAGATTTTTTTATACGACTTAGAATAGCAAACAAGCTGACGGCCCACCTAATGGAAAGTGGTTATCGTCGCCTATAGACGTGAGCAGTACCATGGACATAACAGAGTATACCGTTTCGCCCATGATACCCCACATGCGTTGCCATTCCTGAGGACTCAGATGTTATTCCTCTGTACCCTGTAAATTCACGCCATATCCCACCCTTCAAGCCGAAACACAGCCATGCAAACACAACTGCTTCACAGTAGAAACACGAATGGGACAGAGTTACCCAAGCAATCGACTTTTGTACAAAGTCTCCATCTGATATCAATAATACAAACACTTTAAAATGAAATTTTAACTTATTTTGAAGGTAAATATGAATATATTTACATATGCAAAGGTTGACTGGTAGAGAATGATACTGGCATTAAGTTCGCCTTTTGTACCATATGTTTTTGGCCAATAAAGTTATTTAAATAAATAAATAATGTATTAAGTTAAAATAATAGCTTGTTGTAATTTATATTAGGTATTATCATTAGTATTAAACGAATTTCATACTGGTAAAAATTCGTATTTATTTTTATAACTTAAGTATATCTACTTCAAATTGATTCGTACCTTATGATTGTGATTTTATCTAAATGTATCGTATATAATGAAATTTGGGTATGTGGTCCCGGCATAGAACAGGCCATTCCTTCCTTTCCTGTGGGTGTTGTACAAGGCGACTGAGAGAACCTAATGGTACAGGAATGGTCAGCAGCGTTCCTCTTAAAACATCTCTAAAAGCCTAACTGCGCTTGTTCATCCGCCTGCTAAGAGTGGCAACTACTGACAAAACTGCCTTATTGACGAAAGCTTATGTTCAGCAGTGGACAGTTAACAGTTTTGTACTTGTTTGAACAAAAAACAATGTGATTGCTAATTTTATCATACATCTATATCATGTGGAGCGTATCAGATTTGTAATAAAAAAATTTTGGACGTAAAAAAAGTATCATATTATAACGTTATATTTGAATTATTTTGGACTGAGTTAATTTGTAGATAAAACACAATTATTGGGCTTAACAGAATATATAAAATATAAATTCTAAAAAAAAAAATAACAAAATATAAATAGAGCAAATTTCTAAACAAAATAATTAATCTATTATATATTACCAACATAATATGACTAAAAGTTACCTCATATCTCACGATATTTATTTTTAATAAATATATTTTATTTAGAATTTATTATTTCTGTAATTTGATGAAATAAAAAATACACAATGTTATTTTTGATATAAAAAATTTATTTTAAAAAATATAACTATATTATTTAATAAAAAATCTATTAAACACATAACATTCCATCCGTCTAACCCTATTTTTAATTTTACTACATATAATGTATTGTTAATAAATATAACATATAAATCTAATAGTAAAGTCTTCTGAAAAAAATTTCACAATTAATTTAATAAGTTCAGAGTGTTTAATTTACAATTTTACCACAATTGGTACTAGAATTTCTTTTAGTTAAATTATCCGATATTATACCATTTTCATGTTTTTTATTCACGCCGTCTGTTGTTTCGTTGGATTTGTTTAATTGATTGTCATTTTGTATTGTTTTTTTATTGTATGACTTCTTGTAGAAGTCTCCAAAGAGATATATAAAGAATATACCGTTTACCAATATTACTGATGACAATATTGATGACGGTGGGCAGTCAGTAGTTATGTAATTTGCGACCATATGTATCACGATCATGACGAATTGTATCTGAAAAACAAAAAAAAAATTACCTTACTAATATTTATTTATTTAATATATATAATATATATACTATAACTAGATAATGTCTGTACTTGTGAGATATTATATATATATATATATATATATATATATATATATATATATATATATATATGAAGTGTCTGAATAATAGCATGAGGTACGCGCCAGAGTTTCCAAATATAATCAATGATAACTGCAGGTACTGTCTTTTATATGCTATGGAGGTATCTGTCGCACATATGGTAGACATGAAAAGTACCATAAACACCACAGAATATTCTATAATACTCAAATTACCCCTCATATGTTGCCATTTTTGAAGATTTTGGTATTATGCTTCCGTACCTTGTAGTTTCACTTCTATTAAAATATACAAATACAAATATACCTAGTCTTTTGATATTGTGATTATTTCTTGTAATTATTTATATTTATAATAAGTTTACGTTTGTAATCTTTTGGAGGAAACAATAAAGAGTATCTATCTATCTATCTATCTACCTTTGTCCCATTCATGTATCCACCGTAAAGCAATTGTGTTTCGGTTTGAAAAGTGGGATATGGCAGTGAATTTACAGGGTATAGAGGAATAACCTGAATTCCTGATTCCTCAGGAATGGCAACGCATGGAGGGTATCATGGGCGAAACAGTATACTCTGTTATATCCATGGTACTGTTAGTGTCTATAGGTTACGATTACCACTTGTCATTAGGTGGGCAGTTAATTTGTTTGCCATTCTAAATTGTATAAAAAAAAAAAACCTACTCACCAAATTCATATTTTATATTATATTATTAATATGAAATGTAAATAAAAGAAAAATTTGGGATAAAAGAGAAATATATGGAGACGTGATGTACAGGGATAAGGAGCATGTTTCAACAAAGATATTAAGTTTGAATTTTGATGGCAGAGGAAGATCTAAACAGACATGGATGGATGGTATGAAAGATGATATAACTAAAATAGGAGTGGATGAGGAAATGACTGAAAAAAGGAAGAATAGAAGAGACATATACGCCGACTTCAAATATTTTTTTTTTATACAATTTAGAATGACAAACAAGCTGACGGCCCACCTGATGGAAAGTGGTAACCGTCGCCTATAGACATGAGCAGTACCATGGACATAATAGAGTATACTGTTTCGCCCATGATATCCCCCATGCGTTGCCATTCCTAAAGACTCAGATGTTATTCCTCTGTACCCAGTAAATTCACGCCGTTGGGACGAGGATCGGAGGATAATGGTGATGGAAATAAAAGAAAAAATATCGACTTACCAATTGCAAAGACGTGATGTACTTCTTCCACCACAGGTACTTGGTTATTGGCGGAAATGCAGACAATCCGTAGTATGTATACATAATAATATGTACAAACGTGTTCAGGGTACCCAAAAAGGTCGTATAATAGGAGGGCTCCAGCTTTAGCGTGAACCATGTCGACCACAACATGATACTGTGGTGATAGATATGCAGGAATGACACTTGATTCTGTTTCTTACGAAGAACGAAGAAAATTGTATCGAGAAGCTCGGATAATTTCGACAGGAAGTACAAGTAGATGGCCCAGGATAGCTGAAAAGAATATATATATACACAGTTAGTAATAAAATTCTATTTTATTCTATTCTCTTCTGTTCTATAATTAAACTGCCATATTATAATTAAAACGCGACTGTCTGATAAAATCAAGTTTCGAGATATGAGCATAAAACATTGCCGACTTATTCATGATCATTATTATTATTATATCAACTGTTAACTGCCCACTGCTGGATATAAGCCTTCCCTATAAGGGAAGTTTTGCCAGTAGTTGCCATGCTTGGCAAGTGGACTGGCAACCGCAGTTAAGCTTTTAGAGATGTTTTAGGAAGGACGCTGCTGCCCATGTCTCGCCCTGCCTTAGTCGCCATGTTCATTCATGATCTGATAATGAATTCATCATCATATCAGCCCTTAACTGTTCACTGCTGAACATAGGCCTCATCACCACCCACCTTTTCCTTTCCTTTCCCGTGAATGTCGTAAGAAGCGACTAATGGAAATTAATGTTTGAGGCATGCGCAGCAAAGTCCCTCTTAAAACGTCATCAAAATTTAACTACGGTTGCCAACCTCCCTGCCAAGCATGGCAACTATTGGCAAACCCTCCTCCAAAGGGGAGACCTATGTCCAACAGTGGATATATAACGACTGATACGATAATGAAACGTGTTGAAGGTCTCACTGATGGAAAGTGGCTACTGTTAGGGAAGAAAGGAATCGTTAGTAATGAGGTCTAATACCCCCATTGCTAGCAATCTATCCTCAGGTCGACGTCTACGCGTTTTCACCTGGAAACCATCACAGTTAATTTTTGTCAAATTCATGGTGGGCCAACTGCCCTGTATTCATTTTCACCTATCATTTTCCACTGGTGCCCCGCCGATGTAAACCGATAGTGCGAGCGAGGTTACCATTCCATTGTCATCCATTAAAAAAAAAGTGATACCCATGAACACTTGCAATTTGAGAAGGGTCGCCATTTAAAAAGTCAGGTTAAGTTATTTACTGATCGAATTAAGTAATGGTCAAATTGTTTAATTAAATTTCGTTTAACAACGTTGCATTCAAATTGGGCATTCTGTATCATAATTAATTACCAAATAAAGAAATATTACGACCACCCATTGTATGGATCCTCCTCGATTTATATGTCATTAAGAGCAATAAATTCATCCTATATCGACGTCAAACAGACAATAGAGTGTCATTGACCGATTTGTTAATTAATTTTATAATTAAAACAATTTGTTCCTTTCCAATTTGGTTCCGGCTTAAGTTTCCATTCTTCTACTGCTTTCAGATACGAATCAATCGATTGGTAATTCATCGTAGTGATGTGCCAAGTCCTGATTGAAGTACTACCGGAAAGTATAATTGGTATTCGAGTACTAAACATATAGAACTCAGGTATTCAAATATAGATTTTGAGTACTTATGATATGATTGTTCAACATTTTATTTATTAATACTTTACTTAATTACTAAAATAAAAAATACTAAACATTTATTTTTTATATAAATTATTCGAATACTTGTACAAGTACCTGTCCGAGACCTCAGTCTCGATTCAGGATTCGATTCCATTTTTTTTAACGTGTACCAAAATATTGGGCATCTACGAGTATATAGGTTACCATCCATCCATTATTATCCATTAAAACAAATATTAATAAACTACTTTTTATTTCGGTCAATCAATATATTTTGGTCACGCGGGTTTTTTTGAAACTAGACTATTAATATAAACGTGAACGAGCGTTTGTCTGTTTATTATTTCTTGGCGTTTAACAAAGTAAATATTTGGTCGGCAACGCACAAGCAACTCTCGTGTTACAGGCGTTTATTGGTGACGGTAGCCGCTTCCCATCATTCACCGTCCGCTCGTTTGTCTCTCTAACGATTAAAAAAATCTAATCGTGAAATTTTCAAAATTCCAAGTAGTAACAAACAAACGGATTTTCACTTTTATAATATTAATGAATTTTATCTTTCGTTCGCAAGTTTGTATGTAAATAAATGATACATAGATAGCGTATTAAAGATAAGACATGCACGCTAGATTGTAACGTACACGTTTAGAAACACAACCGTGAAAAACGCATTCAATTTGATGCGGCAATGTATAATTTTTATCTGATATTGAAACAAAAATACAGACAGATAGATAAACTAAAATTAAAGTAAATATTTTGTCAGCTTTTTTTGCTCTTGTTCGTAGTAAATCCCACGTTTTTTTTTTTTTAAATATCTCTATCTTGATGTCTAATTATAGTTTTATATAATTGTAAGATAAGGAATGAGATAAGATATGAAGTGAGATAAGATAATGAGTGAGATAAGCTAAAAGTAAGATAAGATAAGATTTACTTACTTTTCTTTCTGTTTTATCGTCGTGTTGACAAGTCACGTGCATGTATCCGACATCTTGTAATATAGACATACCCTGAAAATCAAAATTAATATATTTATTAAATAATGAGCTCAAGAAAGGAGATACAGGGAAACCATTGGATATTTTTTTTTTTTACAACACAGGGGGCAAACGAGCATGCGGCTCACCTGATGGTAAGTGACTACCGCCGCCCATGGTCACCCACAACACCTACGGCATTGCAGGTGTGTTGCCGGCATTTTAAAAAGGAATATGCTCTTTTCTTGAAGGTTATGTTGTCGTATCGGTTCGGAAATACTGCTGCTGGAAGTTGATTCCAAAGGGTGGTTGTGCGTGGGAGATATGGAGAATGAAACTTTTCAAATTTTCCCATAAGAGTTTTACTAAAACGTATTTGTAATCTATATGTCTAATTGGAAGTTTAAATTGCTAGTAATTTAATTAGAATTATTTTGTTTAATTCCGCTATCATTAGTATGTTTGTTAATTAACAATCGTGGTCAATAATAATAATAATAATAAATTTATTTGCTTTAAATAGGGTAGGTATCGGTGGTCTTACATTACATAAAGTTTCGTGCCTATTTAGCCATTACAGAATAGCATGCAAATGTCACATTTTGACAGGAATTGATTAATTTAATTTATGCATCGACAACCTTCGGGTATTGGCAGTGAGATACTAATGGTAATGGAATTAACCAAAAATAATTATAACTAAATAATCCCATAAGAGTGTTGGAGTAAAATTACAGCGTACGAAGATACACGCCAGCACTTACTCCGCAGGGATGGCAATCATTTTTAGCTGTTAACTGTCCACTGCTGAACATAAGCCTTCCTCATAAGGGGCGTTTTGTTAGTAGTTGCCACTATTGGCAAGTGGGTTGGCATCCGCAGTTAGACTTTTAGAGATGTTTTAAGTGGGACGCTGCTGCCCGTTCCTCTATCATTAAGTTCACGTATTCGTCTCTGACAACACCTACGGGAAAGAAAAGTGTGGCCTATTCTATGCCGGGACTGCACGGCCATTCTTCTTTAATTGAATGAATATATTTTCTTATTAGTTTTATAGAAATTTTATCGAAATCGGTTCAGTAGTTTAGTTTTTAAATCAAAATTACAATTAATAATTATTTTGTCAAAATTGAAGCCGATTTTTTTGTGGTGCACATTCTTAAATTATAACAATGATATTTGAATGTAGATTGTTTAATAATGTATGTGTAAATTAATTTAAAATATATAACTTACAAAAAAAATACATTTACATTTAGTTAGATTTACTACTAACAGAACTTTTTTTTTTAATTGGTGATAATGGAATGATAATCCCGCCCGCGCTATCGATATACACCGGCGCACAGTGGGAACTTTGACTCCTTTTCATCTCATAAATCTATAACTTCCGTATTAATAAAGATATGTACATGATTTTTTTTTTCTGATAATCTTAAATACTAAAATTGCCTATATGCTTTTAAATTATGTATGCTTTGTGAGTAAAAATTTATTTCTAATAGTTATAAATAATATAGGAATACAAGAAATATAAATTTTGTAGACTTACATTTATGTCCTAAGAAATTTATACAGGAATAAGTAAAAGTATCTGCGTAAAAAACAAAAACTCTTATAAAGATAACTTAGAAGTCACTCAAGAGCTCCTTTACTTCATCAAAAAGTTCTAAATATTTTTTATTGGAAGGTTTTCTTAAACTTGTTATGTATGGGTCAGAGGTATATAAAAGTGCGTGTAGAATATCTTCGTTAGTGGCTACCCTCGAACATTGTCTTGCATGATGAAGCTTTAACTGTTTATAGTCTTTGTTCCGTGACTCTTGAGCATTTTCTGAAAGTTGCCCAAGAGGCAAGACAGAAAAGTAACGTATCACACTTTCACAATGAATCAACACCTTGTGATTTTGGCGGATACAAGATTCTGTAACTTCACGAATCAACTTGTATAATGGAAACAATAAGCAATTCTTTGTTATCAAACAACTCATCATATTTTCATACTGTGCCTTGTTCAGATCCAATTCTACAAAAATGCTAAGATCTTCATCTTTTGAATATGCTGTTATAAGTGTCGGTTCATTACGAAGATTACTGCGTATTTTACTCTTTTTTTCTGACGGCCATGGTCGTAAAATATCAACGATGAATGCTTCATCTACTTCACCACGTGACCTTAAACCCTGTACATATGAGTTCAGTATGAAATCAAGTCCACAGGTATCAAGCAGTCCCTTGTTTTTCCGTTTCTTTGTACTCTCTGAACTGTCATCGTATCTTTTAGAAGGTCTTCCTCTTTTCTCTGTCGAAGTAGAAAGTTCAGGTTCGCATGTAGTTTTTTCTAGATTTACAGTAAAAATGACATTAAACCAATTGCTATTTTGGTTTAAAAACTGTTTTTTCTTTCGACCACATTTCGTATAGCGTTGACGAAACTGAGTTATGAAGGACTTCTAAATACTTGCGATAATTTTTGCTATATTCGCATCTGAAGATTCGGTAATATTATTTCGTACATAGTTTGAGATAGAATCAATATAATTTGTATCACTTTCAACAATAAGAGACTTAAGTCACGTCCGGTACACGAGATTTCACTCATTGCGGAGAGATAAGTAATTAACAATTGTTCAGAAATGACAAATGCTTATAAAGAACTGTAATATTTCATATGTAAATGTATTATTTTATACTTAATAATGATCATAGACGTGTGCAAAATTACTTGATTTAAAAAATTCACCATTATGCGGTTATGCGGTAAAGAATAGGTCTGTATGGAAATGGGAACTAAATACTGTGTGATATATTTGATAAAAGTAACGCAAAAAATAAAATATAAAATAATAATTGAGACAAAAGTATCTTTTTGAGTGTCCAGACAGAGAATCTCAAATAAAGAAAAAAATCTTAATATACGTACTTAGAAAAAAACATTCTCACCATGATATTATACTAGATTTAAATATATTACGCAGTAAAACTGCAAAAAAAAATCTTTTGCCCTCAAATTACATTATATTTCCTAATAAATTAAACCAAAATCAGAACTTCGGCAAACTTCGGCAACTGTCAAATCTCCAACTGAATGTTTGAGAAAAGAAAATAATACATATAACGATATATGGATCTTTGGTTAAGTAATATTGTACTAAACTAAATATATTTTTATTTTATAGTAAAGTACACATTCTAAGCATTCTAAAATGGTATCACACTATATGACTTCTATTGTTTTGATACTATAAAATTATACCAAACGAAATTTAAGTTACATAATTATTTTTGTATTTTTTTCATTCCTTGACTTTAGATGCTCTGTTCTATGAAGTATGAATAGTGACAGATTTGAATCATACTTATAATGATAGAGTAACTCTTTAGCTACAATTTGAGGTATTATACATGCATATCCACAGAGTTTTGTAAAAAGTATTTATGAGATGGCTTTCTTAGGCGAGTTCCCACTGTGCGGCGGGGCAATAAGAGGTGATAGATGAGGATGAAGCAGGTCAGTTAGTCCATCGTGACGAATTTAACAAGAATTTTTCCCGTTGGTTTCCACGGGGAACCACATGGAGGTCGACCTAATAGGGTATATTGCTAGCAACGGGGCTGTCAAATTCCATTGCTAACAATCCCTTTCCCCCCACTAAAAGAACTAGGTCGAACCTGTATTCGTATCTCAGTGAATACTCAAATAACTTATTGTGGCTTACATACTTATGAAAACGTTACAATATCCAATAACGTTTACACTGAAATTTAATAAAGTAACTTTTAATGCAACATAATCAAATGAGCAGCGTCATCTTCTCCTATTACAATTACAGTATTATTTTACACAGACAATATTTTATATAATTTGACATATTTTAAATTTACAATATTTTATAATGTCTTTTAACATGTTTACGAGTTCATTTAAATTATATATTTTTTTTAATTCTATTGCTAGGTTCGGAATATTGTTATGTATTGAGAATAATCCGTAAGAGATGAACCAGATACTCTTTTCGAATTGTTATGTATGGCTGTATATTTGTTCGGGTATCATGCTAAACTTACTGTACCAAATTGAATGCGACTCTCGCTGTTGTATATCTGAAGGTCTAACTTAAAAACTGAAGTACGTTTTATTTTAATATATCATTCAGAAATGATCTATTTAATTCATTTTGCTAACCACACGTACAGGGGAGCACTTATTAACAAAGTATATTGCTAGCATTGCTGGCAATATACATTGTCAGGTCGACCTCCACGTGGTCCCCCTTAGAAACAGTCGTGTTGAATTCCAGGTTTATTCATCACGATGGGCTAACTGACTTGCCTTTTCATTCTCATCTATCATCCCTCACTGACGTCCCGCCAGCGTATACTGTAGCACATGTGGGGTTACCATTCCATTATCATCCATTAAAAAACACCACGTGAACAAAGCAGCGAGTAAAAAGGTAGTTAATTGGCTATAGTATGCAATATTTCTATTATTCTATGAATAATATAGAACACGTGGTCGTATCAGTTATCAAGACGAATTGCATGTTAGCAGTATTATGATATGTAATGATTTATATCACCTATAAGCATATTATAAATAAATATTGTTAGAACAGCAACATATAGCAAAAAATAATATTTATGTCTTATAATTTTTTTTATGGGTGATGATGGTATGATGAGATCGCCTGCGCTAACGGTATACGCTGGCGAGGCACCAGGGAGGGATGGTGGGTGACGATGAAAGCAGGTCAGTTTGCCCATCGTGATGAATTTCGTTACAACTAACCACGATGGTTTCCAGGGGGAACAGCGTGGAGGTCGACCGGATATGGTGTATTGCTAGGCATGGGTCAGACCCCATTACTAACAATCCCTTTCCCCCCTATATCTTATACTAAGAAATGAATAATAAAATGGGACAGTGCCTACTGTTTGTTCTAACGTAACAAAGGGTACTTGCCGTGTGATTCCGGCATAGAAAGGCCCATACCTTCCATTACCGTGGATGTCTTAAGAAGCGACTAAAGGAAGTCGAGGGACAGACAGCAGTGTCCCTTTTAAAACATCACCAAACGCCTGACTAAGGTGGCCAACCCGCCTATTAAGCATAGCAACTGGTGGCAAATAGGGCGACGCTTATGTAAAGCAGTGAATAGATAATGGCTGATGTGATGATGAAGATGTATGGGAGAGAAGATTGGTTTTTTAAAATAAGAACGGGTAATAATGAAATGGGAATGAAAACAGACCAGTTGGTCTATCGTGATGAGGTAGATGTATGGGGGGAGGAGATTTTTTAAGTATGAACGGGTGATAGCAAAATGGTGAGGAACCAATGAGGGATAATCACTGAGAATGACTTTACTACTATAGTTTCCAGGCAGGAACCGTGACCGTGGAAGACAACTTGACAGCGTGTATTTTTTTAAGACTCTGCTTGTTCTATCGACACTAGCGGAGCATCAGTGATGGAAGATAGGTGAGAATGTAATATGTCAATTGACCCATCGCGATGTATACAACAACAAATCAGGCACGACGGTTTCTAGGAGTAAGTGCGCGGAAGTCGTCCTGACTGGGTAATTGCTAGCAATGGGGTCCCTATTTTTTTTTATACAACTTAGAATGGCAAACAAGCTGACGGCCCACCTGATGGAAAGTGGTAACCGTCGCCTATAGACATGAGCAGTACCATGGACATAACAGAGTATACTGTTTCGCCCATGATACTCCCCATGCATTGCCATTCCTGAGTACTCAGGTGTTATTCCTGTGTACCCTGTAAATTCACTGCTATATCCCACTCTTTAAACCATATATATACATAATGTAAATAATATAAGTATCATATATATGTTATTTTTAAATTACTGTTTTATTTTAATATTGTCTTATTTTTTCTATATATTTGCTCACCACGTTGTACCGTCAATTATATTTTCTGTTATTCCTGTCTACGGTCGACTGGTAGTTAACCGCGAATGGTATTGAGTCCGCCATTTGCACTATCTATGTTTATTACAGATAAATAAATAAATTAACACTTACCAAATTAAAAAGTAAGATGGAAACTATCACTTGTACTGCATTGTATAGAATGATTACATTCCTCAATTGGAAGGCGGGACGTTTCTTCATCGTTTCTGGACCAATTTTTAACACAAACAGTATATAGGCCACCCATATCGCCAGTATGGGTATTGGGGATTCCATCAAGAACCATTTGTCCACGTATTCCTCTGAAAAATATTAAAAAAAAAATCTTCATTAATAATTTTTTTTTATACCACTGAGGTGGCAAACAAGCATACGGCCCACCTGATGGTAAGTGGTTACCGTAGCCTATAAACACCTGCAATACCAGAGGTATTACGCATGCGTTGCCGACCCTGAAGTAACCTCTTTACTCCCCTTTTGAAGAACCCCATGCTGTAGTCTCTTGGGAAAACCTCGGCAGGGAGCTCATTCCACAACCTTATATGGTAATATAAAAGAAACAAACTCACGACTACTATTTTTTTTGTATAATGGTGTTTTTATTATTATTATATTAATCGTAAACTGTTCATTGGTAAACATAGGCCTCCCCCATAAGTGGTTCCGGCATAGAATCGGCCACCAATTCCTTTCCTGTGGGTGCCGTAAGAGACGACTAAGGAAGGGTGAGAGATGGGCAGCAGCGTCCCTCTTAAAACATCTCTAAAGCCTAACTGCGGTTGCCAATTCACCTGCCAAGCGTGGCAACTACTGGCATGACACCTCAAGGGAGAAGCTTATGTACAGCAGTGGACAGTTAAAGACAGATATGATGAATAAATAAATAAATCCATACAGATACCCGGTTTTCGAGAATATCATGTTTTATTTACAAACAAGCTTTAATGTTTACATGTCTGCCAATCAATTAAAAAAAAAAAAAGAAAGAAATTAAAAAATATAAATTTATTTTGTTTTTTGAGACAAAATAAACTTTTAATTTGATGATTACTAAAATATAAATATTTCATTAAAATATGAAATAATAATTTAAAAATTGATGAAACAATTTTAAAAAAATCTAAGTACTCAAGATTTGAATCTGTACCCTTTACGTTATTTCTAGACCAATATTTTAGTTATTGCTTCACAAGTATGTCACAAAAGTAACAAAAAAATAAAGAAAAAATACTGAAATAAAACTATTCCAAGCCACGTGGCCACCTTTTGAATATACTTCACTTATGAAATAAAACTCGTGGCTATAAGTAAACCCATATTTGTTGTAAAAAATGGACTTACCCTTAGATTTGAAATTCCAAATACTGTCAATGTCACTTTTATTTAACGCATATTTATATTCCATTTTGTTTAAAGAAATTATTAATTTATTGTATAATGTAAATAAAATAAATATTTGTATTTATATAATAGTTTAAATAGAACACTATACGTATATATATATATATAATATAAATATATATATATTTTCACCAAACAATTACACTACTAACTGCGTGCACTGTCTGTATACAAATGATTGATCGAATCAGTAATATGTACATATATTGCAGTGACATTTTTAACTGTCTGGGGTCATATTCGTGATGAGTTCACGGAAATTAATTACACGTGATTCGATTATCGAAATCAATGCAATCGATTAATTTTTTTATTCGCTACGGAATGGTAATCGCACGGCCACCATCTGACGATAAGTGGTAACAAACATCTATACAGTGGGGAAGGAATTGTGAGTAATGCGGACTACCAGTCCCATTGCCAGCAATATGCCCTGTCAGGTCGACCATCCTGTGGTCCCCCCTGGAAACTATCGTGCTGAATTTCAGATGTATTCATCACGATGGCCTAACTGACCTTCTTTTTCATTCTCACCTATTATCCCTCAGTGGTGACCTGCCCGCGTATACCGTTAGCGCAGGCGTGGTTACGATTCTATTATCATCCATTGAAAAAACCGACATCTATACAGGAACTCTTTCCTCAGTTTCAAAGTGATTTCAAAACGAAGAAGATTCCCAGTTCGGTTGTATTTATGTTTGTCACCTCATAACTCGATCATAAGTTTTAAACCGATTTGTTAAACAGATTGTTCTCATCAAAATTGATAACGCTAAAATATTTAGGTATGCCAACCATACAGCAGTTGTTATATATTATATTAGGATGAGTTGTTATATATTATATTAGGATGAGTTGCACAATTACACTGAAAAAAGTCTGGGTGCACCAGAGGGAGACTTTGTACAAAAGTCGATTGCTTGGGTACCTCTGTCCCATTCGTGTTTCAACCGTGAAGCAGTTGTGTTTGCATGGCTGTGTTTCGGTTTGAAGGGTGGGATATGGCGTGAATTTACTGGGTACAGAGGAATAACACCCGAGTCCTCAGGAATGGCAACGCATGGGGGGTACAGATATCATGGGCGAAACAGTATACTCTGTTATGTCCATGGTACTGCTCATGTCTATAGGCGACGGTTACCACTTTACATCAGGTGGGCCGTCAGCTTGTTTGCCATTCTAAGTTGTATAAAAAAAAAGTCTGGATAGAAATGCAAAATAGCTTAATATCAATCTTCGAATTTTGAATAACTCAAAAACAAATGATTACTGCTTTACTAAGTATAATAGAATGCAGCCAGATTTTGATTTGAATATAAAAATTCAAACGTGTAAAAATTAAAATAAGAATTACAACTGTAATATAATTAAAAAAGAGTCCTCAGGAATGGCAACGCATGGGGAGTATCATGGGCGAAACAGTATACTGTGTTATGTCCATGGTACTGCTCATGTCTATAGACGACGGTTACCACTTTCCATCAGGTGGGCCGTCAGCTTGTTTGTCATTCTAAGTTTCATAAAAAAGCCATATATGTAGTATATTTAAAAAAAAGAAAAAGATTTTTTTTGAAGTCTATTATACCATTCTTGTATGTTTTAATGTAATGTTAATAATTGTAAATTTAATATGAAAATGAATATAGAAAACACTAGTGGAACTACAGAAGTAGATTGTATTATTTTGGAATACATCGTTTATATGTATTTAACACCATTTAACTTTCCTAAGCGTGAGCTGTATGAAATAGGTGACGGAATTCAGTAAAGAAATTATGCATTCTTTATATTATACTAAAAACTCAATCATATCATATCAGTTAACTAGGGGGGAAAGGGATTGTTAGTAATGGAGACTGAGAATCCCATTGCTAGCAATATACCCAACCAGGTAGACCTCCTCGCGGTTCCCCCTGGAAGCTATCATGGTTAATTTCTGATGAATTCGCCATGATGGGCTAACTGGCCTGTTTTCATTCTCATCCATCACCCTTCACTGGTGCTCCGTCAGCGTATCCCGTTAGCGCAGGCGGGGTTACCATACCATTTTCACCTATAAAAAAAAATCAGTTAACTGTTGATTGCTGAATTTAGACCTCCCTCATAAGGGGGGTTTTGCCAGTACTTGGAATATTTGCTAGGTGGGTTGACAACCGCAGTTAGGCTTTGGCGATATTTTAAGAGGGACGCTGCTGCACATGGGATAGGAAAGGGTGGTACATTCTATGCTGGAACCACATGGTAATAAAAACTCATAAATCTTTAAAATTTGATCGAACATTAGCTGAAAAAAGAAATGAAAAAATAATGTAGTACGCAAACCTGTAAAACATCTTTTGCAAGATATAAAGTTCAATAAAATCATATTCAGGTTAATAATTAATAAATGTAGAGGTATTTATGTGCATTATTGTTGCATTCTAGGGATTTTAATGTAACTGTAATAAAACCGAATTCCTAGCATAGTGGTCAAATTACATGATTTATTTTTAAACTATTATTATTGTATTAAAACCGGCATTGAAATATGTATAATAACTACTTAATTAGGTGTATGTATGATTTCTTGTTAATGATCTTGAAGTTAATAAGAGGATTTAAACGGCTTTTTTAATTCGACTTAAAAAAATAATGAGGTTCTAGGTTCGATTATATAGTTTTTGAAGGTATACTTTAAATCATGTTTTTTTCTTGATAGGTGAAAATGGTATGGTAACCCCGCCTGCGCTAACGGGATACGCTGGCGGAGCACCAGTGAAGAGTGATAGATGAGAATGAAAACAGGCCAGTTAGCTCATTATGATGAATTCATCAGGAATTAACCATGATAGTAGTAGTAATGATGATAGTAACGTTGACCGACCACATTTGTAATACAGTAGTGCCTGGAAAGTAAGCAAGATGCAAGGTTAATAAAACTAATATACAATGCGAATGTTTATAGACTACTCGGTGTGTGACAATAGTCATCATCATCATCATCATCATCATAGCTGTTATCTGTCCATTGTTTAACACAGTTTGTGTTGGGGACACCACTGCCCCTCATGGACCATTAAGCTTTCTTATTTGCCTCTTACGACACTCACGGAAAAGGAAGGAGTGGCCCATTCTACGCTAGGACCACACAGCTGAAACTTATTATAGCTACAAACAATTACAGGAAATGATCACAGTGAGAAAACAATGGGCGGCCTTATTACTAAAAGCGATCTCTTCCAGGCAACCTTTGAATAGGAAGGATTAATTAATAATTAATTATGATAATTCTTAATAAAATTATAAATGTGAAATTGAGTTTGTTTGTCTGTTACCTATATTACTATAGCGCCATATTTACCCAATTAATCACCATGAAATTTGATATGCATAGTTACATATACTATATTGGATGGAGTAAAAAAATACGATATATTTTGCTAAGATTAAGATGCAAAAGAACTCGCTGGTAAAAGTTAGTTTAAACTAGTTTAATGCAGATTAGGTAAATGTGTAATTGAATGGTAATCGAATCTATTAATAGATACTGATTTAGGTGTTTTTAATAAGGCATGCCCACTAAAATATCAAGGCATGTGGTGGCGTGATATACCAGGTTATTGACATCCCTAAAGTATCGCCAAGTACAGTTACGGCTAGAATATCCGTCATACTCGTGAACGAGTGCTGCCTGTGGGAACCGATGTTATCTGGTCCCTGTAATTAATTTATTTTATTCATTTTATCATTTTTTTTCCACTCACACTGGTGTGAGACATGCTAGGTGATGATGAAGCAGGTCTGTTGGCCTCATCGTGACGAATTCAACAACAAATCTTTCACGATGGTTTCCAGAGGAAACCGTGTGGAGGTCGAGCTAATAGGGTGTATTGATGGCAACATGTTATGCCTCTTTACTCTATAATTTCACTACTCTATTATGTCCATGGTACTGCTTATGTCTATAGGCGACAGTTACTACTTTCCATCAGATGGGCCGTCAGCTTGTTTGTCATTCTAAGTTGCATAAAAAATCATATACCAACTTTAAAAACCAAGGGGAAATGGATTGTTAGTAATGAGAACTGACACTTATTACTAGCAATATACCACGCATTTTCCTCTGAAAACCTTTATGGTTAATTCTTATGGAATTCGTTACGATGGGCTTACTGATCTACTCCATCCCCACCTATCATTCCTCAATAGTACTTCGCCAGCGTATACCAACAATGCAGGCGGGTTAGCCATTGCATTATCACCCATTTAAAAAAAAACCTTCAAACCAAAACATAACCATGCAAGAATAGCTGTCCCAAGGCAGCAGCAAAAACATAGCCATGCAAAAATAGTTGCGCCAAGGCAGAAGCAAAAACATAGCCATGCCAGAATAGTTGCCCTAAGGCTGAAGCAAAAAGATAGCTATGCAGGAATAGTTGCTCTAAGGCTGAAGCAAAAACAAAGCCATGCAAGAGTAGTTGCTCCAAGGCAGAAGCATGGATGGGACAGAAGTACCCATACACGCGATTTTTGTATATTCTCCCTTTGATAAATGTTAATGATAATGATCCCGTTGAATGATGGAGCAGGTATGGTTCATTAAATGTAACTTAACTGCTAATATATTTCATACGCCATTAGGTAGTCATAATAGCGTATCATTAACTAAAAAATTGAGATAATTGTCTATTATATTAATTAATTAAATTACTTATTAATTAGTTCATGCAAAAATGGGCATACTGAAATACTAAAGTATTTAGTTATGTCATATCGCATTTATCTGGTGAATTATTCGTTTAATTTACATTTTCATTAACTTACATTAAAACAAATTATAGAACTTATATGTACCGTGTGGTCCCGACATAGAATAAGCCACCGCTTTTTTATCCAGTAAGTGTGGTAAGAGGCGGCTAAGAAAACTGAATAATCGAGGGATAGGTATCAATGCCCCTTTAAAAACGTCATTAAAGCTTAACTGCAGTTGCCAATCCACTTGCCAAGTATGGCAACTACTGGGAAAACCCCAATATTCAGTATTAGACAGTTAACGGCTAATATGGTAAACAGTAATTATGCTTTCTTTAATGGCTGAAAATGACAGTAGCAACTGCGCATCTGCTTACGGTATAAACTGGCAGGGCACTAGTAATAAATGATAGATGAAGATAAAAGCAGATCAGTTGGATCATCATGAAGAGTTCGACAAGATTATTTCAGGA